ACAGGATGCATGTGATCTTATTTTCCACCCACGACATCAAAAGATGAGAGTCATTTTTTTGATGAGTGGCAGTTTGGATGCGTTTTTGGCTACCAAAATATCAATTGTTCTCCCAGGAGTGATCTTCAACGACGCCCTGGGTAAAAAGCAGAAAGTGAAGTGGTCAAATGCATTTCACACCTCACTTGTGTAAGAAGTTGGGTCAGCTTTAGTACGTTGATCAATAGTCGATGAAATCTTTGCAGGGATAGAAAAGGTTCGATTGACTTTAGCCAAATTAGGCTATCTGCGGCTCCACCGCCATATCCGATTGCCTTGCAATGGCCAAGCGTACTCTGCTACAGTTGTTTCTGCCCTATTCTATGGGTGTGAAACATGGTCATTAAATGTATAAGACATGAGAAGGACTCACATACTCGACCACTATTACCTTCATAGTATATGGTGTATGTCGGGGTGCCACTGTATCGGTTACGCAGAGGTTATGTGTAAAGTTTTGAGGAGCAGAGGAAAGTTAGTTAATGTAATTTTGAACCGACACTGACTTAGGTGGCTGAGGCATATAGTAAGCTTTCCTAGTCAGCGTCTACTATGATACGAAATGTTAGCCGTAGTAGTTTCAAGCTGAAAAAAGGCTGGGGAAGGCCAAACTGAAACACGGCATCAGTACAAGAATTTCTTGACTATTGATTTGGGCCATACAGGGCGACTAGCCGGTTCAAGTCAGCATGAAAACGGAACCCAGTGGTCAGAGACTCTAGCTCATGCGGTTCAGAATCGCTGTCAGTTGTGCAAATGTATCCACATTTTATCGTCATCCTAACCCTCAGGCTGTATTCAGCACTTTTGGATTCTTCCTTACTCTCTTTTACTGCATTCTACTACTTTTGTTCCGTTCTTCTTTCTTTCGTTATCTTCTAACTGACGACTTCATTGCCTGATGTGTTGACGTGAGGTGTGGCTGGCAACTTAGACCGTTAAGCAGTAATACCTGGTCTAATGTTGATATTGACGGATCGATTGGATAAATATTTGCTGCTGCAGCATTCTTCTCTATGTTTCAGCAGTGATTCCCTTTGTCATTGAAGATACTCCGAGAAAGTCTTTAATTTGGCTAAAACAATGAAAATGAATGAATCCCAGGTCAAGTGGACATCAAAGATTTATCACACACAACAAAATCTATTAAGTCATAATACTAAGGCATAATATCACAAAGCTGAATTCGTAAACTTTGGTGCAATCTGATGGAGTTAAGAGGACATAAAAGCAATACAATCGCTTACATCTAGTCTCAACATCATTGGTCTACAAAAGGAATACTGCTAATATTGTGAGACTCTGGGAAGAGATGACTTGTCCGCTGCCCCTCCGAATGATGCAACAATAGCTTAAAATCACCAAGGAAGCATCGTAGAACCGTGTTTAGTAGACTTCAGGAGGGATGAATTCTTGAATCTGGCCTATAGCTTCGGAGGAATTCATGTTTCTCACTGACAGAAAGTAGTACATATGTTTTTGAAGAAAGACGGTGTGGAGTTTTGGAAAGGGAACTCTTTCCAAAATAAGCAAATGTTGATACTAATTTTAGTATGAATCCATGATAAAATCTCACTCCCGTATGTTTCTTTACATATTTCAATCTTAAGTGCATGGTTCATTTATATTCTTTCTTATCTAATATGTGCTGGTTGTCAGAGACAACTGATTCAAATAAAGAGGATAAAACTGAACTTGAAGGAAAGACTGGGCATTTGCATTTAGCCATTGAAATTGTGTTCGAAAATTTCGTGCTACTGATAGTCAAAATAAGTAGCGTAATCATTGCACCGACGTTTTCAAACCTCATACCTTCATCTACGTAAAAACTAGACAAATAACTCAGTTTACCCTTTCAGTGTCACTACTATTTGTGAGTTGCCTCAATAAATCTCTGGTTGAAATATAGACCTAAGAAAACCTGTTGTTATTCACAAGGAGGGGTTAATTCTGTAATGATATGAATTGATGAAATTTTAATGTTACCCTGAGGGCTACTAACGAGCTTCGTCTGACTAGAGTTTCAAACAACAGTGTGAGAAACACCCAAAACTGCAATGGTCGGTATTGGATGATGACTGAAGGTGATATAAAATTCGAGTCACTGTAGGATTCTTACCAGAGGTATCCAGATTACTGGCCCGAGGCTCTACCGACTGAGTAACATGACTCACCTACTGACCAAACCTTAATTTTACTTCAATCAACAAGCGTTTTGCCCTGTGAACCGTTGATGTGCACCTGTCCGTTCATCGTGATCAAACTTAATTCCTAGTAAGGTTTTCTAGTTCGAATTCAAGTTGAGCTGAATTAGAGAGGAGACGTTAATTAGTTTATCAGTGTGATTGTCTGAGATATCCATCATTTGGCAACTCATACTACTGATATTGGGTAATGACTGAACATGAGGTGAAAAACTGGGTAGCGTCGAGGTTTGACTTAGCAGCCTTCAGGTTAGTGGCCCAATCGTGTACTAACTAAGCTACGCAATATTGCATCCATCAAACAGTTTGTTCTGACACCTGATTTATATTTATTTTCTCACATTCTGATAAGATATTGCATTCTCTTTAACACTGACCTGTATTGTCAGTGAATATTTCAATGTGCCAAGTGAAGTTCATTCGTGTTAACAAATCACTTTGTCCCTATTCCTTTTAAAAGCAGCAGAATAAACAGTTTCACACCAGTAAAAGTTAGTTTTTATATTTGGAGGTTTATGGGGATTTATTTATTGATTTCAAGTTCGTTTTTTTTCATGAACGGATATCAATTAGAGAACCATTGAAAACTTGGCAGCATTAGATAGCTGTTCTGTCCTAGAATGGGATCCTCGGTAGTGTGTGCAGATGATCCAGCCAAGGGTAGAAATCAGGGCCTTCTGGTTCGGTCGTGTGCACGTGATCATAAAGATTTCTTCAAATTCAAATGAGAGTTCATGACTGCTGGGGCAACCAAGTTGGACGTCAAGACTGATACTCAAATATGGCATTTCACGAAGGTTGCTCTTTATCAAAAACTGAGAGAAGTAGGAAAATGAGGCCCAATGGTAACGTGGTGGCTGCAGAACCTGAGAGTTCTGGGCTCGATGCCTTGCGGCTTCGTGGGTTCCCACTGCTGAGCAGTCCATATAAGGACGAAACAGATGCTAATGTCCCTCCAACTGATGCTGGTCCATGGTGAACACCAACTGAAGAAGCCAGTTTTCAGGATTTTGTGGTCTCTTATTGCCTCATTATCATAAATTTTATACTGTATAAGTGTTTCTGCTTCTAGCGTTTTGTAAATCAATCTAAAAGAGAGATTTAATGTCAGTATATTGAATCAAAAGAACGGTGTTCGTTTCTTTCGGAGACTAGAAAACTAATGTTGAGCAAGGGCAGTTGTAGAATGGATAGACTAGTAGTGAAGTGTTTGAATTTCGTGCAGTCAACAGCCATGAAACGTTGGTTTCATCTGATATACTTCAACCACCTAATAGCAGGGAACTATATCTAGGGGTTGATCAAGTGAAGAGCATCTTTAGTATATTCATATTAACTGTTTCATGATGGAATAATTCCTGTAAACCTGGAAACGAATCCAACTATTCCTTCGAGACAATATCAACCGACATCTTCTTCAAGAGTACTTTTCAGCCGAACAAACTGAAGCTCTGGAAACTCCGGAAATATATATTGCTGAAGGTGGTCGGACTAGTTCTTTTTACCTAGAGCTAAGTAGTAATGTGCGAATAAACGAAGATGAATTTTTCTGAATCTATATTGAATACGGTATCGTATGGGTTTTTGTTTAAAAAAATCCAGTAAAATAAAGGCTAAAAAAGACTTCATAGGATTCTCACTAGCGTTATTTTCTATAAATAGTTTGATTTTGGTAATGGGGCTTAATTCTTGACTTTCTACTTAATATATATACATCCATCTTGTATCGATCGCTTTTCCCATTGTTCCCCTTATATAACTGAAGGGTGTTCTATGCTCTTGAAACTGAAAAGTCAGCGGGGTGTGTTCCCAGAAAGTTGAATATAATGAAGGAGTTTTTTGCTTTATCACTTCCGAAATTAGAAATAATGAAATCGAGAAAGTGAAGAAGCGTTGTCTGAATTATAAAACCAATGATTTAAGGTCTTTTTGTAACCAATTAGTGCCAGGTGGAGAAAACTCATGAAATGAAAACCTAATGGTTGGTTTTTTTTAAGATTTTTCAGACTTACATACCCTGAACCTGGGGAGTTAACTAAGAGGCTAAGGTGGTCTAGGGGCTACTTGGGCACTGAGGTAGAATGTTTATTCATATAAGAAACATCTGTTTGACATAGTATATAGCTATACAATATTATTTACTTAATGGTGTTTCGAGCATAATTTGTTCTTCACAATCATATCAAAGTGACCCCAAAGCTTTCAACATCTTATTTTTATAGTTCTATCACCACACATTCTTTGTTTTCGCCAGTAATGAAGTCTTCCAAACCTCCGGTACAGATATTGCGTCATCTTTGTTACATTTTCAGGGTATTGATTCTACCAGCGAATATTCGATAATCCATTTCTCCTTCCCTATCTAGCTGTATTGGATTTAAGTACCGTTGTTTTATCCCATCTTGTTGTATGGTTGTGTGTCAGTCCTTACATTGCAAAAAATCTAGTGCTTTTTCCAGATTTTTGGTCCTAGTGGTGTCTGTCATTCTACATTTGGCTAAAATACTGACTGTGATTTTTGCTGACCTCACCATGTGTCTCATATGGAGTTACGGAATCGTGGTACTATAACTTTCAAGAGAAGGATAAGACTACTGTTCAGCGTTTTACAACTTTTTTCAGCCTCAGAACAACAGGTTTATCCAGCTACATTTGTTGTTTTGCTCTGTTCATATTTAGAAACTACATAATCACTTTTCGTTTATGAAACCATTTATTAATACCTTATTTAAACTAATTTCTTCTATATCTTTTCAGCCTCAATGTAAAATAGATGACTTTTGCTATATTGAAACACCGAGTACAGATGGTTACATCTATGGTGGTCGAGTACCATGTATTTGTCCAAAACAATATCATTGTCCAATTTACTTTATACGGGATAAACGTATTCCACAAGTCAATGATGATGGACGAGTTATCAGTTATGGAGTTAAATGTAAACGAAGAATCTATTGATTAATCAAATTTCTCTTAATGATTATAATTATATTTTGGCTCCTTGTTTTCTTATCTAACTGTTATTATTCCAGTTGGATAATAGTGAACAATCTTTTCTGTAACATGATCAATATTCAATACTTATTTATTTTCACTGTGTGCCTTACACATGTTAGCGCGCAGTTTTAAATGTTAGGAAAATAAAGATGGTAGCAAAACAATACCTAACGGTAAATGTATGCTTTATCCTTTCTTTGAAAATCATTAATATCTGATAACATAAACAATGCTTTTTAGAATTAAAAGTCAGACAGACTACTGGATAATCTGTTGTTAAATATGAATCTAGACTTGGTGTTAAAGCTAGTTCATCTGTATCTTTCATTGAGAACAACATCACTTAATGGGAGACAAGTACATCTAACTGACGAGTTCGATTATGAACAGGGAATGTTTCAGTCATAAAGGAATATTGTAGAGTGCTCACGCTATCAATAGAATCTGGAGAAGCAAACAATTTTAATCAGATTTTACCACTAAGCTGAATGACTAAAGTGAAACCCGTGTTGAGCGACTTTTTTTTCATCATACGCATAATGTAATGAGGTCAGACTTTGGGAGTCTCTTGGCTATTGGACTCCTCAGTAGCCTTGAGGAAATTTACCCTTCCTGTTAAAATAAAACCTGTATTAGTTAATACTGAAATCAGTGATATTATGACTAAGTTATCCATGAAACACTTGCAGCTTGCCAATCAATGATGCAGGGTTGAATTTCTTTTACAGAATATTTGTTGCATGCAACTGATCTTGTGGGATGTTGATTTGTTGGTATTGCAGTTGAGGATTTGATCAGTGTGTGTTGGCCTCCTGAACACTTGGGTTTCCAGCTTTCTGGCATGAATTAATTTCGACAACGTAGAAATTTTAGACAGAGGAAACACAAAAGGTATCAGTGAATTCCTAGAAGCTTGGCATTCAGGTCATCATCAAAAAAGATGATATAGAAAACACCCACAGTTTGATCAACAACTTTTTCACTGACATCAAATTCACAATGGAGAAGGAGTCATACAAACAATTACCATTACTGGATGTTCTAGTCAATAGAACAAATACGAGGAAGCTGGAAACCCAAGTGTTCAGGAAGCCAACACACACTGACCAAATCCTCAACTGCAATACCAATAAATCAACAACCCACAAGATCAGTTGCTTGCAGACTCTATTCAGAAGAGCGACAACACAATACAGTACAACAACTTCACCGAGAAACGCAGAAAATTACTTGATGTCCACCCTAGAGAAGAACGGCTACCCACAAAACCCTACCAGAAGATGCCTATCAACTACATAGTCATCGACACAAATCAATAAACGCATCATCCTACCATACATAGGGAATATATCAGAAATCACGACAAGATTACTGAAACCACTTGGAATTGGTGTGGTTCATGAACTAACAAATTCCCTCCACACCCTACCCCATGTATGTATGTATGTAGACCAAAGGATGCGACAGCCAAAGAAGATAAGCTGAATTTCATTTACAAAATCAACTGCAATAACCCTAGTCAACACTACATTGGACAAGGTGGTCGCCCTCTTCACCTTCGTCCACATGAACACCAATTGGCTATTAAACGTCACGACATTTCATCACTCATTTCAATGCATGTGGATAACAACTATGGACATGAATTCAATTTCCATAATGTAGAAATATTGGACGGAGGAAACACAAAAGGTATCAGCGAATTCCTAGAAGCTTGGCATTCAGGTCAGTCAGTCAGTCAGTCAGCAATCAACAGATGTATAGACATAGACCCAGTCTAGCAACCAATAAGAATGATGATAAGTGACAGAAAGGTCAGAGGTGAAGCAGAGGAACAGCCAACAGGAAAGTCTATACAATGAATGAAACAACAATGGAAGGAAACAGCCAGTCATAGACGGCTTCGTTAAGTCAAGCTACTAAATCACTCACTGATGGAGAGATATTGACAGCTCACTTCATACTGGAGTTAGTGTTGCTGATGATATTGTCTAGAAGGAAGATGAAAGCTTCACGATTAAACAACCCAGCTCAGAGAACACAATACAGCCAAGAACACAAAGAAATTTACTCATGGACATTACTTGATTGACGTCAAGCTACATCATGAACTGACAGAAGGAGGAAATATGGACTGCCGGGTCTTCACCCAGAGGTTCACTGGTAACGTAGTGGTCCTAGGGCATAAAAGCCCTGGATTAGATCCCTTGCGAGTTGGTGCCTGTTATCTGCTGACTAGGCTGACAACAGAACGAAGCGGCTATCCAGTACTCCTGGGTTACTAATGTTTCTCCACCTGATGTTAGTTCATGATGGATACCAAGCTGAAATATTGGTTTCATCAAGATTAATGTCTATCTTGTTAATAATATTATGAAAAGTGGAGAAAATTTCCAGTTTTTAATACCAAGCAGAGTGCACAAGAGTATTGTGTCACTAAGACTTGTAACCATATTGAATACTCCGCAGAGATGTTGATCATTGTTAGAGGTGATCGAATTTCAACCAGTAATTGCCAAGTTTGAGTCACGCTCTACCTACTGTGATTTTGACAGTCCGTTAGCAACATATCAGTAGTCCTAACACGAGAAGTGTTACGTATTGTCTACTGCACAATGGCACACGTGTTTGTTAGGTGCGTTTCTACCTTGCACATTTCTTCAGTTATTTTCGATAAGCACTAACGATCCAACAGGGAAGTTCAATAGTGCATAACAAACATTTCGTTTGATGGCAGATCGGTGGGTATATAAATCCCAAACAATCACCATTATTGTATCATTTCCTGTTTCTTCAGTAAGTCATTCTGTCATTCAGTTAATACATTTGTAAACTACTCTTCTCATTTTCAATCACAGCAGTGTAGGTCAGAATTACTTACGATATATTGTTACATCAATACAAACAAGTTTCTTTATTCACAGATATTAAGGAGTGAGCAATCGAAAAGTTGGACAGCAACTAGTTTTTCATAAGTCCTTAATAATAACAATACAATTCCGGAGATGATGAATATTGCTGAATTTTGAAGTAATTGTTCATACCGTGCGTATTTGTGAATGAATGAGATTATTTTTAATTAAATTACAGTCTTTCCTTGATAGTTGCAAAATAGTTTCAACAATACTGCACGTGAACACATTAATAGATACATTTTTCTCATAACCTGAAAGCATAGTCCTGTTAGCAAGCTGTAATGGCTCCTGTTTTATTTATACCTCGAAGACTACACCTGTACTAATAGATGAGGCTACCTGAGGCAGAGTTGGTTCTACAAAATGATCTCCAAGTTATGGGATGATAATTCAAGATGAAAAGCTGCCTCACAGCAGGATATAAAACTGAAGTTGAAATACCACTCAGGTTTGAATTCCGCTAACATTGATTAGTTACTGGAGAGTGAACAATCATATATTGTCTAGACCTAAGGGCCGATTGAATTTTGTCCATCATTTTGCTGTGGAGCATTGGATGGGGTTAGGTCGAATCTTTGAGGGGATTTCGACTCCTCAGCGCTTCCAGATGTGCCTGTTGAGTGTTAAAAAGGATGCAACCAAGATCATTCATGCATTCCTACTGATCGACTTTTGATAGCTAGCAGGATTCCCACTTATTTTTAACAAAAATACATTTTCATGGATATTATATCTTAATTCGCACTACAGTTTTTTTAACACTGAGTAACCGTGACAGTAGATAACAGCTGGTTAGTACTTGCCACTTTTTCACTTTTGTCGCACACTATTCCCCTTCATAATGGATAATTTCATTTAGCGTGACCAGAAGACAATTTTATAATATCCAACAAACCAGTTGATATTATCTCACGTTCTTCATTGTCACCTTAGGTCAGAATGAATTTTCTGACAGTGATCGAAAATAAATAAAAACTGAATAATGCGGACCTTTATTTTGATTTAGTCTTCCTGTTTTTTGTGCACAATATACTCATAATGAGTACATAAGTGCCTAAGTTGAAAGGCAGTGGACTACACCGGAGGCTTTCGGGTTAGAAATTGACAAATGGTTGTTCCATATGTTTCCAGTTGGTTCCCAGTCAATGAAAACAATACTTGAAGCTGCACATATGGTACTGAATTTTACGAATTCAAAATTCCTAATGTCCTATGTCCACCGTGTTTCGCACATTACTTTTAACTACTGAAACAACGTTAGTAGTATAAAAATGTCTTTAAACAGAATTAGGTTTTAATTGTCAAATGTATTTTTTAAGTTTGTAAACCGATGATATATCGTTAATAGTATACATAAATGTTCAGTAAATAAGTTTCAAGTAATTGCTGACATACATATATGCTCACAAGTAATGGAAGCCATAATGATAAGGTGTATTTGCCGGAGGAAGGAATGAGAAATAAAATATGACTGCTCATACACTAAAAACTGCATCCTCAGTGATTCACGTTTCATCCTGTTTAAAGCATTTTTTTTCTGATAAATTAAAGTGATAGGTCATCGATAAATGTGTGCTTCTCTAGCCAAAACTGTATCAGGTCAAAAAGAATTTTAGTTGTCTCATTCGCACACGATCCTCCATGGGATGAGATGGTCAAAATAAGAGGTACACGTTAGAGACAATGAAAGGATGGAACAGAGGTAGAGAACGAAGGCAAGCATGCATATATATATATATATATATATATATGCGTGTATATATATGGCCACCGAAAGAAAGGCAGTTCTCTGGAGTGAAAATAACGCATGCATTCATGAACTGAGTCTTAACAGTGAAGAATGAATTCAATAAATTAGTAGGAGATGGTAACGCAAAAGAGAAACGCATGTTGCACAAATTAAGAGTCCTATATCGGTTGTTTATTTTGTTTTGTATTCTTTGGTACATATTCACCACTGTCATTGACAACAATTTGTTGGTCCCCATAGTTCGGTCTGTCTTCTGGCGTTATAAGAAAGCGTATTCTCTGGATAAAAGAAAGACAGAAATAAATAAATCATGATAACTTCAAACTATTTAACGAACAGAGAAGACATACGGACAGGCGGATAGATCAAGTAACAGTAGCGCAGACGTGCAAAAGTTCAGGTGATCACACTTCACAGTAACATACCATGAGAAAGGGAGAAAGAGAAAATATAAATAAATATGTTAGTTTAACCTCGCCTGGTTAACTACTTCACTAGTTACTAGCCAGTCCTAAGACCGGGTAAAGAGGGAAGGTTGGGTATAGGGCTAGCAACCCTACCCCGGAAAACGAATCTAACCGCTAAACAAACTTCAAAGCACAAACAAAATATAAAAAATAATAACAAAATTATTCCTCGCTGGAATCGGAGAGAGGAAATGACGCCACTTGGTGAAAGCCGACCTACAGGAAGCCAATTGGCCGATGTGTCTTCTCTCCCTAGATGAAAGCGAAAGTAAACGTGGGGACATGGAATGTCCACGCGATGTTTGAACCCAGCAAAGCAGCCCAGATTGCAAAGGAGATGAGAAGGTATCACATTGAAGTGCTTGGGATTTGCGAAAGCAGATGGAATGGGAATGGACTCTCCAAACTGTCAACTGGAGAATCAATAATCTACTCCGATATTGTCACCCAACGACAACCACGAGCACACTGAGTTTTGGAGTGGCTATCATGATGTCCCCAACAGCATCGAAGGCTCTCATGCAGTGGGAACCGATCTCCTCCAGGATCATGACAGCAAGATTCAACTCAAAAGGAAGAAGGTCACAATCATACAATGCTACTCCACGCACCTACATATAATGCAGATGAAGAGAAAAAGAGGAATTCTACAGACAACTACAATCAATGCTGCACAAGACGTCAATTCGCGATATCAAAATTCTAATGGGTGACATGAATGCCGAACTCGGAGCGGACAACACAGGAAGAGAACTAACCATGGGTCGAGAAGCAGTCAGTGAGGTGATGAACGAGAATGGAGAATTGTTTGCAGAATTCTGTGCATTCAACCATTTGGTGATTGGAGGCAGTGTGTTTAAGCACAAGGATATGCACAAAGAGAGCGACATGGATTTCACCAGATGGACACACTAAAAATCAAATCGACTTTATCTCAATCTCAAGAAAGTGGAGACACAGCCAGCCTACTTGACACAAGGTGAAGAAGAGGAGCAGATGTAAGCTCACACCACTATCTAGTGAAAGGGACCTTCCAAATCAAGTTGAAGGCCTTCAAGGAAGCTGGTGATAGACCACAGTTGAAGTTCAACACCCAGATCAGAAACTAACTAATGGATGAAACTACGAAGGACATCTTCACGTCAGCCAGCCATCAAGACAAAATGGGAGATATCGAGCAACATCCTGAAGAAACCTGGAAAACCTTGAAAGCCATATGGAAAGAAACCTGAGTAACCCTATTAGGAAGGAAGAAGATAAGGAATGCATCTCGATAGACACATGGAAGCTGCTCGAGCAGGGAGAGGGGGATGGTGAAACAAAAGATAAACCAGTGCAAGGATGCACAACGACAAGAGGAACTGAGTACAATGTATAAAACACAACACTGGACAAAGAAGTGAAGAAGAGTGCACGCAAAGACAAAAGACACTTCTACGAAACACTGGCAAGTGAAGCAGAACAGGCTGCATGTAGGAGAGATAGAGACCTGACAACATTGTATCAAATAACCAGGTTACTTGCTGTCTGGGAAGAGATCAACGCAGACGAAACCAATCAAAAATGATGACGGCAATCGAATTACGAAAGATCAGAAACAAAGGAAACAATGGAGTGACCACATCAAGCAGCTCTTTAATCGACCACCACCATCACCTGCACTTCTTCCAGAAATACCACCTACAGCCCAGCCGGTGAACTACAAGTGAACATAAATCCTCTAACAAAAGTGGAAGACCTGAACGCCATAAAGCTACTGAAATGTGGGAAAGCAGCAGGACCAGATGGAATCCCACCAGAAGCACCGAAAACAGACGTGGACAGTGGACAACAGCGAACATGCTCACACCACACCACTATTGCAGAAGGTGTGGAAAGAAGAGGAGGTATCTGGCCATTGGTTTGAAGAAGGGTTACCTTGTCAAACTGCCGAAGAAGGGAGACCTCAGTGTTTGCAAGAACTGGTGCGGAATCACACTCCTGTCCACTCAATGCAAGCAAAATATTAAGCCGCATCATTCTGGAGAGAGTAAGGATGCACTGGATTCAAAACTACGACCGGAACAGGCTGGCTGGCTGAATTCAGGAAGTACAAATCATGTGCCGACCAAATTGCAACGCCACTCTATACATCATCATAGAACAGAGTATAGAATGGCAGTCCAGTCAACCCTCTACCACAACTTTATCGACTTTGAGAAGGCCTTTGACAGCGTCTACCGAGAGGCAATTTGGAAGCGGCTTCAATACTACGGAATACCACAAACATTTATCCGCCTCATTCAACAACTATATGAAGATGCCACATGCCATGTAATTCACAATGGGAAGCTCAGTGATGCCTTTGAATTGAAGTGAAGACAGGAATGAAACAAGGTTGCCTACTATCACCCATAATATTCCTGATTGTGGTCTAGTGGACTGGATCATGCAGCAAAGAGTGGGGAGCTGTGAGAAAAGGGGATACGCTGTCTGGACTGCAGAAAGGAACCTAGAAGATTTGGATCTCACCGATAACTTATGTCTAATGTCACACAAACTTGAAGATCTACAGGCAAGATCCAACAAGTTGGCATAAGAGGCAGAGCAGGACATGGCAGGGCAGGGCAGCGAAGACGGGATTTCAAGTGAATACAGAGAAGACAGACGTGATGAAGATACCCAACCAACAACACCACCACCACCACCACAACAGCAACAAGCTCCAATCTCCACCAACGGGAGAAACTTAAGGAAGTAGCCTCCTTCACCTATCTAGGCAGCACTGTTTCAACTACATGCGACACGGCACAGACGAGGATGTCAAAGCAGCCAGGATAGGAAAGACAGCAAGACAGGTGTTCATTTGCCTGAAACCAGTGTGGACATCTTGTGCAATCAGCATAAAGTGTGAACAATATCCGGATTTCCAACACGAATTCAGTCAAGTCAGTGCTTCCGTATGCCTCAGAGACTTGGAGTGTTACGTAAGGGATTTCCAACAAACTACAGACATTGGTCAACAACTGCCTACTCTGGCTCGTTACTCAAGATCAGATGGCCAGAATAATAAGAATAAGCAACAAGGAAGTCTGGCTGGCTGACTGGCAACGAACCAACCAACAACCTATCACTGAACAAATATGCAGTGGAATGAAGTGGAGATGGATTGGATTGGACATGAACTGAGAAGGCCGACTGGGGACATCACACGTCAGGCCAGCCAGGCACTCGAGTGGGACCCAGATGGGAAACGACGAGTTGGGAGTCCGTGGTGAGGGTGACATGGAGGAGATGGTGTGAGGAGGAAATGAGAGTTTGTGGGCTGTTGTGTAGCCAGGTCCAAAAGATTTCGGAGAGAGAGTGGAGTGGAGACGTGCCATTGAATCCCTATGTTCCATTAGGAACTCAGAGCACAAATAACAGTAATCATAAGTTGTTAATCATCATGGGCTGAAATCATTTGGAGAACCATTGAAAATTCGAGAGCACTAGACGGCTGTTCCATCTTATCATGAGACTCCTCAGCAGTGTGCAGCATGAGCTCTGCGGAATCTAAATGTGTTAGGTTTGATCCATAGCGGTATATGTTCATAAGTGCGCACTGCTGAGCTGTACCATTCTAAGACGAATTAGCTTATCAATGTCTCTCCAACTGATGTAATTCCGAGGTTAATGCCAACTTGAAACCAATAAATAATCCCCCTAAACCTTCAAAATAAAATACGTTAGTTCGATATTACAAACTATAAACAAATTATATCATAATATAGGGGCATACACTTGGAAGACCATTAGCGAACAGAGGGTGATCAGTTCTCTTATGAAACCAATCCACAACGGGAAAAAGCAATTGCAAATATGAGACTTTACCCGTTACACAAGAAGTAACGTTTGTGAATCAATAGGCTAGTGGATAAGACTTTAGAGTTTGAAGTAATGGTACTGAACTGGAATTTCAATAGGAATAAAATTACTCACTGAGATTAGCTAAATTCAGCTAATGAGCCCCAAACAAGTCGAAAACCACTTATTGTGTGTTGGGCATATTTTTAATGTTGTTGCTAGTGGATAACGCTCTGGAGTTTTAAGAGATCCGTCGCAAGTTAGAGTCCTAGTGGGAGCAACACCACTCACTGGAAGGCATTGACATCCGACCGACGAGTCCCAGACTGGACGGAACGCGCGTCCTGAATTCCATTGCTAGACACTATCCATCATCAGCATATAATCCAGACACTGGCAATATCAAGGGATCTGAGCAGGAACCCATATGCCAATAGAGACTGATCGATTCGGTCCACTCAACGACGGGATAATACAAGCAACATAATAATAATTATAGTACTCGCTTTATTCCGACCAATGTGAATGAGTATGGAATTCTCAGGATATAATTTTTCAAGTAATTCACTCCCAGGACAATACTTTCAGATGAAATGGTTAGTGCATCTGCATGATGTTAATAATAACAGTATTCAAGCAATAATGTGAAATGGCCAGCTGGTTCTGGATGGGTGTCGTGTCCACAATGAAGATTCAACAGAAATGCAAGCCTAATTTTGATGATGGTGGTTCATTCAGAGGGTACAAAAAACTGTCATTAAGCTAAGTATCTGACGGACAGAAATATGATATACTTTTCTGCACCAAAAAGTCCATTTCCACATAACGGAACATTTTTCCTCTGCTTTCTTATTGACTCGAGAAACTGGGAGTTAGAAACAGTTTAAAAATGTGCCAGAGTACATGGTACGTTCAAAGGATAAATTTAGATGATTAAAACAAATTGAAAAGAAAGAATTTGATGAAAATGTTCGATGGATTATTTTGGTAGCTCAGGTTAAACTGGCCTTACAATTATACTATTGAATACATATAGTTAGTTGGTGTATACGAGGCGTCAACGCATCTAACAAATGTTGTAGCCACCTCAGATTAGCCAATATACATCTGGAACTAATCTTCATTTAACTAGTAAATCTGCTATACGATTCTATTAAAACATTCATACCAAGTTAAAGACTTAAATCTAACAGTGTTTCTGTAAATGCCTACTCATTTTACATGTTTTTACAATAAACGGATAAGCCTTGTATATCACTTCATTTTTACATGTTACAGATTTCCATATATGTGATACATTCAGAAGCAGAAACTTGTTAATTCAGACTTCATGTTATGTCAACGCATAGTTGTTATGAACAGCTTCAATCTCAGTGAAACAACCCGCAAGTGAATGTTTAACGGTATTCAGTGGCTAAATAGAAAACAGTCAGTAGTGAATCTGCCAGAATAACCGTACCAGAAGTTTCATACCTAATATCTGTCAAAACTGAATCCAAGGTGAATTTTGCAGAGACTAGTTATATGCCAAATCAGTAGCCATGACAACTGATCATTTCTTAATGTTCCGATTGTATAGTGAACAATATCAACTTTGAAAAATATATATTACGAATGATTATGAGTACTTTAAAGTTATCCAAATTGACTAAAATCAACTTTCAAGTGGAAAATTTGTAAAAAGTTGAATGTAAAACATGTGCTTTACAGTAGTTTTACAGTAAACTAACTAGATGCGTACCTGAGTAAGTATGTGCATAGCAGGACACAATATGATCCAACAATGGGGAATACTGAGAATCATGACTTGTTAAAATATATTTTGGTGAAATGAACTATAACTATGCAACTTACTTCACGAAAAGATCCTTTAGCTTTAAGCAGCTGAAATATCATTAAAATTGGAATGAAAATTGGTGATGAAAGACTATAGCCCATGATAATGCAATCACCCAGGTTGTAGGCTCATAAACAACACCCAATACAGAGATAGGATGTGTTTCATAAGAAACCACATTTGCAATAAAAATCCCCTAAAAAGAAGAAAAATTCACAAATGGATCTTTGAAAAAAAATTAAACAAAAGTGTTTCTTTTTGAAAAATGATAAGGGAACTAAAGCGAAAAAAAACAGATGGATCCATACTGACAAGGTGTGAGATACCGAGGTAGTACAGTTTCATGAAAGTTTCTTCCTCCCCTGATTATCTGTTCGATTTCGATTGTCGTTCATGATCAAGCGTTTTAATTAACTGACAAAGTGGATGTAAAACACCAGACAATAGGACTTTAGGTTGATATTCATCATGGATTGACATCAGTTGGAGAACCACTGAAAACCTGTCAGCACTGAACATTAATTTCTTTCTAGTATGGGGCTCCTTAGCAGTGTGCCTACGTGATCCACCAGGGGTAGAATCCAGGACCTTCAGGTTCCCTTACTACCCCACTACAAATGAGCCACTAGGTTAGGATCCAGTGATTGACATTTCCTACTTCAATCGGTTCACGATATAGCACGACCTCCATCCATTGCCGTTATTGAATAGCTGTTCTCACATCCTCACTTGGTTTGGCCCCACAGGTCACAAATTCTCAATAAAACTTCAAGAATCTCATCTAGAAGCAAGTCACTAGTGGGGACTAAAGTAATTCATTTTGAGGCTTACCCGGAGCTACTGAGTGGTTTCGGGTTGATATGAGTCACAAATAGCAATGGTATAATGATAACCAATGAAAATAGCATCTATTTGATTTTGTGGATATATCTTCATGTAATGACGAAGAATCAGTGCTGAAATTCGATTAACCTATTACTGTACAGTTTGAAAGATGATCTGAGTTCAGGATAAAATTTATATGAAAGACATAATGAATTTTCACAGTAAACAGTTTGAACTTTGCACTTAAATGATACTTTTTTGACCAGTAAAGGGTTTCATTTATGAGGTACTCAAAACTTAAATCAAAATATTTTCAGTTATTGTAATCGTAATGGGAGAGAAACCAGTAAGAAGTCTATTACAACATGAGTTTTGTTTAACAGAACTATTGTAGATAGGTTGAGAGTCAAAGTGAACCAGGAAATAGGTTATAATTTCCGAAACTGTATGAAAGCAGTATAGATATAAGTGAAGGAACAGTAATTCACATGGTGGTTTATATAAGCAAAGGACAGCTAAAAATGTGACCTGGTGAAAACACTTCGGTTTTTTAGAGCAGCTTGTGATACTTGAGAACTAGACAGTTGCTACTTTCCGGTGTTGAACTGTTCAACATTGTGCATGTGTAACCATATTGAGATAAAGCCAAAATTATAATAAAGTGCATAGTTATTCTGAAAGTTGTTTCTGTAATATAGTGAGGTGTTTACATAGCTCATGTTAGTTACCCAAGGAAACATTATCTTGTTAACTATGGAAACCAAGGATGGATTCCAATAAACGATGCAGTCATGCAGTTAGAGTGTTCTGAAAGATTGGTGTCAGAAAATTCATGGAATCCTTTTGTTTTCTATCGTATGCCTTCTGACATATGACAGAAGATAAAAATGGCTGAAGTTACAGGCTAGTTTTAATAATCAGCAGAAATACTGCATCAAAAAAGTGAATATCCTGATGTTCTGGTACTAGAGAAACGTTTATCAATTTCTCCATGTCAAGATTCTTCTTCCCCACTATTTACTTTATGATGTTGACTGTGGACATGAGTATGGTGAATGATAGGTGTTGTATCATAAGACTTCTATTTACTGAATACACCTACAAAGATAGGTGTGAAGCTAATTGTAACATGACGACTGATGAAACCATGACTCATTCATGGGTCAAAATAGCCATTCTGAAGTTACTTGCAGATATTAGATAAGTGAGTATTAACATAATTTCAGCCTGTTTGGAGAATAAAAACAAGATTTTTCTGAATGTTTAGCCGTGTGTGCCCTAGCTTCTTCAGCAGAATAACTTCGAAGGCAAGAATTGTAGTGGACTGGATCATGCAACAAACAGTAAGGAGCGAGAAAAGGGGGATACGCTGTCTGGACTGCAGAAAGGAACCTAGAAGATTTGGATCTCACCGATGACCCATGTCTAATGTCACACAAACTTGAAGATCTACAGGCAAGATCCAACAAGTTGGCATAAAAGGCAGGGCAGGGCAGGGCAGCGAAGACGGGACTTCAAGTGAATATAGAGAAGACAGACGTGATGAAGATACCCAACCAACAACACCACCACCAACAACAACAGCAACAATAAGCTCCAATCTCCACCAACGGGAGAAACTTAAAGGAAGTAGCCTCCTTCACTTATCTAGGCAGCACTGTTTCAACTACATACGACGACGGCACAGACGAGGATGTCAAAGCAGCCAGGATAGGAAAGACAGCAAGACAGGTGTTCATTTGCCTGAAACCAGTGTGGAGAACTTGTGCAATCAGCATAAAGTGTGAACAATATCCGGATTTCCAACACGAATTCAGTCAAGTCAGTGCTTCCGTATGCCTCAGAGACTTGGAGTGTTACGTAAGGGATTTCCAACAAACTACAGACATTGATCAACAACTGCCTACTCTGGCTCGTTACTCAAGATCAGATGGCCAGAATAATAAGAATAAGCAACAAGGAAGTCTGGCTGGCTGACTGGCAACGAACCAGCCAACAACCTATCACTGAACAAATATGCAGTGGAATGAAGTGGAGATGGATTGGATTGGACATGAACTGAGAAGGCCGACTGGGGACATCACACGTCATGCCAGCCAGGCACTCGAGTGGTACCCAGATGGGAAACGACGAGTTGGGCGTCCGTGGTGAGGGTGACATGGAGGAGATGGTGTGAGGAGGAAATGAGAGTTTGTGGGCTGTTGTGTAGCCAGGTCCAAAAGATTTCAGAGGAGAGAGTGGAGTGGAGACGTGCTATTGAATCCCTATTTTTCCATTAGGAACTCAAGGGCAAATAATAATAAACAGTATTAGTTCTGGCTAACAGTATAATTAAAAGCCCAAATCCTTCTTATTTTAGACTCATCAAATGGATGTAACTGGAACTGAGTGAATCCTTATGGAAACGCTAACCTAACACCCATCAGTTTAAAGAATAAAGTGGTATCCAGTAAGTTATTGTATCACAAAAGTTGACTTTTATACCACGAATATCAGTTGATACACTATTGATACTTTCAATATCCCGTTATTGTAATGAATTGAAGTGGACAAGGCGTATGCTTGCTAGCCACCGTTAATCAGATTACAATTTATGGAGTCTTCAAGCAATATCGAGGCATGCACAAATTAGTCCATATACCAAAAGACATTGATAGTTTCGTTTCAGTATAACAAATGGAAATTACAAATATCAATAATCGAAAAATATCTATCTGTTTATAAAAAACAGCTAGTTGAAATAATTTCATTAAGATTATCAGGTAGGGAGTTAAGACTTTACAGCTTAATGATTCGTGACTGAATTAAAAGTCGTTATGAAAAACATTAGTGTATTCCTTTGAATAAATATGGAATGTGTCCGCTATCAAGCTAGGAGGCTCACCATCAACCAATAAAGGCTGGTTAGCCTTCGGGATTAGAAAACAGGAAATCAATTGCTCTCCGGTGACATATCAGTGTAATTACAAAATGCCTAGCTTGTAATCACACTAGAAAGAAATTATATTGCAAAGTAGTATAGACGATAATACTGATGGGAAGGTGGTTAATGTTAGTTTAACTATGCAAAACATCAAATGCAGAACATTTTGGCGATTGTTAAAGTAACATAGAAAGCAAATGATACAAAAGTATACCCGTCTGAGAAGTATTAGCTGTTGTAACACAACACCTTAATGGATATCTTTCTGATGTTTAAGTCAATTTATTCCGAGATCCAGTGAATAGTGATCCGTGTGAACAGTACCACTTACTAGGATTGAGGTGTATCCAGCTGAGGAATCCGAGGAAAGACGAAACACACATCTAGAATTCAATCTACCAATCGTTATTCATCAATAATAAAAAAAAACTTAGGAGAAAGTCACATCTGAATATATTACATTTAATTGGACAGCCCGCATATAGCGTTGATATTATTACCTCAAATACGGCACTAAATTGCACAATCTACTTAAGATACCTGCTTTCATTCTATTACAATTAATTGACCATCAGCTAGTAACTCCTGGGTCCTTGAAAAGAGATATACCCATGTGTAAAAACGTTTTAAACCGAATCATGACGACACAAAGCGCATTATCTATTAACTAACCTCTAAAAATAGCACGTATCTGCTGTCTGTTAATCCACATATCATTATAGAATGAATAATACATATGAAATGTAGACATAATATTTACCATCAGATAATTTGGAAAAACTAACACGTCCGTAGCAGTTTCCTTAAGATTATCAGTCTCAATGAACATCAGACTTCGACCATTTGTCTGGATTCTTTGGAACTACGCATTATTAACAACATTATTGTTATTATTATTATTATTATATTATTACTATTTGTTCCTTGGGTTCCTAGTGGAACATATGGCTTCAGTAGCACCTCACCATTTCACTCTCCTCTCTCCGCTATTTACAACCTCGATCCACTACTCCCATCAACAATTTCATTTCTTCATCACACCATCTCCTCCATGTCACAATCGCCACGGACGCCAAACTCGTCGTTTCCCAATTCGATTCCACTCAACGACCTCACATGGCCTGATGCATGATGTTCTCAGTCGGTCTTCTCAATGTATGCCCAATCCAATCAAATCCATCTCCACTTTCTTCTTCTGCACATTTGCTGGACGATAGGTTGTTGGTTTGTTCGTTGCCAGGCAGGCAGGCAGGCAGGCAGGCAGGCAGGCAGGCAGCCAGCCAGACACACTTCCTTGTTCCTTGCTTTTTCTCATCATTATGGCCATCTAATAGATCTTCAGTATCGACTGAGTGTAGGCGGCAGCTGTTCATATGATGCATGTATGCAGTCTGTTGGAAATGATCTTCGTAACACACTAAGTCTCCCAACCATCACATAGAAGCACTGACCTACTTGACTGACGTAGTGTTGAATAGCCGGATCTTGTTCAGGCTTCATGCTGAGTAGATCTCCACACTGATTAGTTCAGGTTGATGGAGGCCTGTCTTGCTGTCTTTCCCATCCTGGCTTTAACGTCCTCATCTGTGTGGCCACCGCCACCGACACCGCCACCGCCTGTAGTTGAAACGATGCTATCTAGGTGGTAGATGAAAGAGAGAACTTCATGCAGGTTTCTCCTGTTGGTGGTGACTGGTGCTTGCCGTGTTGTTGCTGTTGTTGTTGTTAGCTGTCATCACCTCTGTCTTCTCTATGTTCACCTGGAGGAAGTCCCGTTTTCACCACCTCGCCTCCTCTGCCAACGTCTTAGTTTCCACCTGTAGATCTTCGAGTTTGTGCGACAAGACATTAGACATAAATCATAATCGTTGGCGAAATCCAAGTCATCTCGTGGGGTGTTTTCATCGTTCCAGCTAGCGTATGCCCCTCTTCTCGCTCCTCACTGTCTGCTGCATCATCCAGTCTAGTCAAGTCGACCACAATGAGGAGGATCATCGGTGGTAGTAGGTGACTGTCTTGTCCTACTCCTTCCTGTCTTCACTTCATAAGCATCACTGAGGTCTCATCTGTGAATCACTTGGCATGCAGCAAGCATCATGTGGCATTCAGTTGTTGAATGGTGTTGATAAATCTTTGTGGCACTGTAAGCATATTGTTGAGGCAGCAGCTTTCAAATTACTTGTCGGTCGATGCTGTCGAGGACACTTTCAAAATCGATGAAGTTGAGGTAGAGAGTTGTTATGTTTTCGAACGCTAATTGTTATATATATATTCCGAAACAAAGATAATACGCACGCTTAGCTGACAGCTAACTTAGTACGCAAGAGTGACTGACTGCAACCCCGGGAAGAATAGAGAGAAGACCGAATCTGGCAGACGGCAGAGTTCATTACTCCGACAATGTAATAATTAATCAATCCAAAACACTTGAATAAGTATACACATGGAGAATGGCTTTGTTCTCAATTTGAAGCATTTGCATAGTAAGAGTAAGGATTAATCAATTAGCGATTCACATTACAATGAGGGCAGAAGGTAGACTACTAGTCATGCCGTAAAAAATGTTCAGATCAATAATTATGTTTGATACAAAACTGGGGCATCACAACAAGAGTTGACTGCCATTCTACACTCTGTTCAATGATGGTGTGTAGTGTAGTGTTGCAATTATATCCGCACATGATTGGTTTTTGACGAAGCCAACCGGCCATCCTGTTCCGAGCATAATTTTGAATGCAGAGCATCTCTTAGTCTCTCCAGTGAGAAGTGGGTAATATTTTGCTTGGTGTGGACAGGAGCATGATTCCTCGCCACTTCTTGTTCCTGCAAAGACATAGGTCTCCCTTGTTTGGAAGTTTGACAAGCGACAATCGCTTCTACCAATCAACTGTCAGGTACCTTTCCTTCCTTCTTTCCTTCGTTTCAAACCTTCTTGATAGTGGTGTGCGCATGTGTGGTGTTGTCTGTGTCATTTTTCAGTTCTCGTGGTGGAATTTTATGTGGTGCTGCTGCTTTCCTGGATTTCGGCAAGATTATGGTGTACAGGACTTCACTTGTACATTTGTGGGAGGGCTTGTATTCACTGGTTGTTCTTCGGTTTCCAGTGGTTATTTGTGGACGAGTTTGAGGTTGTGGTGGTGGTCGATTCAATATTTTTTTGAAGTGGTCAGCCCATCGTTTCCTTTGTTTCTCCTCGTTGCTGTCTAGGTTTCCCTCAGCATCCCTTATTGGTTTCATCTGTGTTGATCTCTTCCTTCCCAGACCAAGAAAGTTCTAAAGTAAAACACACTATGATAAGCCACGCTTGTAATTTAATTTTCCATCTCAGATAATACACCAATGTGCATGTCTTCCAGTTGAACAATATTCTGCTAAAATTCTTTGAGATCAGTTACTTATGGATTGAAGTTGGGATACTTTATCGTGCATCGAACCAACTTCTGCATATATCTACACATACACGCACACTGGACCGCATTTACACTTCCAACACCTGTTCTTTGAATAAATTGGTTGTAGAAGTTATTTTAGTACAAGACCTAAGATATTTGATGTTCATTCCGGCAACTGATGATTTTCAGAACAACGTAGACCCAACATATAAATAAAGAGAGTTCTTGTTGCATTTTACAGATTTATATTTTAAAAATAAAGGGAGATTCGCTAGTGCATAAGTTTGCCTTAACTATTGCAGCCTAATCAGATCACTTTCAGAGAACAAGCTGAAATGTACTGAGTGACATAAGCGATAAAATGATGTAATTACTCAACCACCACCCGCTAGCTCATTTATACAAGTGACTTTTATTTTGAAAAGATTAATGGTTACGAAAGCGTAGGATAAAAAGAAAAGAGAAAAGGACGATGTGTTATCTATTTTCATCGTGTGTTTGTAGAAAAGAAAATATCTAATAAGACACTGAGAATCTGTTTACATTTCACTAAGAAGAAAACTGATTATATCATTAAGAGATACTGTGAAAAAATGGGGATGACAAGAATGAAAAACAGAACGGAGCCGAAGTTGGCAGGAGGGAGCAAGCAGTATGTATGTGTGTGTGTATATGGTGGTCATGTTTGGGAAGTGGGTGAATAAGAGGAGATAACAGTGGGGTTTGACGATTAACATTTCATTTATATGCAAATTTTTCTACAGATCAAGCTTTTTTATACATTATAGTGACAGTAAATGTACAATAAATGTGTATACACTATCATAACATGAACAAATCATACTTCAAGTTTGATCTTATTGAACATAGATTAGATTAGTTGGCTGTAGATGACAATGAGAAGAAACTTCAACCTAGGAAAGAATAACTAAATGCTTTCATAGTTCACTTTCTGATGATGGTGATGGTGATATGAAGAAAAAGTTGGCAGTTTCCGTTATTTCAAAGAATATTTTATTCTGTCCTTTATCTTCAGTTTTTTTAAGCATACAGAATGAGCATAAATGATGTGAAGTTAGACGTTTTCAGGTTTTTAGCTAGTAATGGGTAATTCCTCAGGGAATATTTATAGCTAAATACCAGTGCATCTTTTATCCGCTGGTTTTTAAAAAGGATTTCCTCGATGAAATAAGACCTAAATTTTATTTCTGTCTGAAAGACGCGGTAATTCTAGAAGGATAAGGGTAAAATTCCAGCTTTTCTCTGAAGTACAAGTTTAAGGGATAAAATTTTATCACAGCTTTTCATTTATTTGACTAAAACCACAAACTAAATGGTTAATCATTTTGTCTAGAGTTTTCTAGAGTTTGACCCTGCTAAAAGTAAACAACACATTAGCTAACTGCGGAATCCAGTACGTGTGTTTCTTCCTACCCGGAACTCGTCAACTAGATGTACTTATATCCCAGTTAGTGACACTTGCCACGCAATAGGTGGCCGTCTGACCTAGGTAGCCTGGTGGACAACGCTTTGCCCTTGAAGCAATGGATAATGGGTTCGAGTTTCCATGGGAAGAACATTCTTCACTGGGATGCAAGCCCATCCAGCTGATAAGTCCTAAATAGGACGAAATGCTTGTCTTGGATTTCATTTCTAGTCACCACCAAGAGAATAACAACAATGAATAATCAGGCGATATCGACGCATCCTCTTAGGAGCTCATATACCGCAAGAGATCGGTCAACTTGATCCCGAACGAAACCAAGAAATTATTTTCTTTCACTCTTCACTTTCTCAAAATCAACAAGAATTCAGAATCGAGGTTTGTGTGGATTGATTAGTTTTGACGTCGGAAGATCATTAAAAATCGTGAGCACCGGATAGCTGTTATATTGTGCTATGGGACTTCTCAACGTTGAACATTCAAAATACTGTCAGAGTCTAGGACTAATATTCTGTGTAAGAGAAGATATATACTATGAATACCACATCTTCCAGCTGTCAAAACAAACGTTTTCTTACTTTGATCATTTTGGTAAATACTCAAAAACTGATGGTATTGACCGAGTCAGGTTACCCATAGCGGAAAAGCATGACTTGCTGAGTTGCTTTTCATGCACTTCAATATGATTGTAGACTTTTACTCTAGTTAGTAGTTTAGTGACGTAGTTTACAAAGATAATATAACCAATGGAGAAAGTAACTGAAGTATCGAAACCGGTACCTTATACTCATATATAGGAAGTCAATAGAAATGTGATAGCTAGTTTTAAAGTTCTTATATGCAGAACAGTACGAAGAGATTTAGCAATTATCAACTCAAATCAATTGGTTTTGCTCACAGAACATGCATATGTTGAATATTCAGTTTGATAACAGTTAAACATTGTAATCTGTGAGCAATATATCGACATATGAAGGATTACTTTACATCACCAGTCAAGTAAGCATTGAAAACGGTGAGATATGAATATCTTGAAAAGCCGTATACTGGGTGAGAATAAAATCAATTCTAGGAATAGCACATTAAAGTGAAACAAGTGAAAATTTCTTTTTTGATTCAAGATATCTTGACATGCATATCAGTATCTGCATACTATTAGTTCCATTGAAAAATTTATTTCTCATGGATAATAAGTTTTGTTACTTCTTGGACTTCCGATCACTTGTCAGTAGACAATGTATCCAAAATTCATGAATAAGCGAGAATAAACACTTTCCAAGAGATTTATTCTTTGATTACATGGTAGTGAAAAGAGCCAAAAAATTGCCATATAATTTAACTCGAATTATTCCTTGTTCCTCTTAAATTCATGATAGTTCACGCTTCGCATATCAATTTGACGACTTAAGGATTCATACTCTTTAATCTAGTTTTTAAACTTCACAATTATTTTTCTGTTTAAAAACTAAACAGAAAACATTGTGAAGCATTAAAAATTCTGTTAGGGATAAGACTAGAGTTGAGAAATAAATCATAAGAATAATTTATTTACAAAAAGGGCAATTAAGGCTCACCAGTAAAAATATTGGACTTATGTAAGCCCAACATATTTGCCAAAATATACCAGGCTTAAATCCCAGCATCATTTGTATATCTTGACAGAATCGCTTAGTTCCTGGATAGAAAGTGAGAGTATACGTATGAATTGACGTCATTAATGTTACACGTTATATAGATATGTATGAATATGATAGGCAAGCAAAGCAAGAGCCTTCTATTATGCGTTCACAGCCTCTGTCAAAGAACTCTTATTCACTCCATTCACGTATGGGAAGTGCTTTCATGAAAATGAAACAGCAATAGCAAATGTCCAGCGCTTATCACCAAGTTTAGTGGAGGTGGAGGTTTTATCTAAGGGGATTTCATAAATCCTGATTCCAAACCAACGATACAAACCTTCTCCAGATCCTAAAAGAAACAAATGGTGTATGAATCTATTTTGCTCATCGGCAATCATGGGAATTTAGCTCCTGACACTGCTCCACAGTCCTATGGATTAGGCTTTAATTAAGAGTCTAGTGGAGTTATAGCTTAGGACAACCATTTACTTCGGTTTGGGCTCCCTAGTAGTATCCCAGCCCTCATGCGTGGTACGAATTTAAGGTATAAAATGAATATTTCGAAGCAGATAACCAGCTTTCCCGCGGATACTCAAACCCTCTACACTACGAACCTTGAGACTGGTTGTCCATTTTATTCCTGTTATATTGTCTTTGTTGTTTTTACATATGAAGTACACTTTTTATTATTACCATTTTTGTTTTCTTCTTTATATTCACTGCACTCAGTCGTTCTATACTGCTTAGACTTCTGGTCCATCAATACTGTTTTGAGTCACTAAACAGTTGTCCCTATAGGACTGTCCACCAGTGCGACATCTAACATGACCGTCCTAAAACGCCGCGTAGCGTTTAAGATCGCCAACTTCATTGTTCACACTTTGATGCAGATCGAACAACAGACAGGTTTAAATAGGATTAGAAAAAGCTCCTCTGTTAACATATGCTGCATCTCAGAGACCTGTATACAAGATACCAGTGAAATCCTTCTAATTAGTTCCCCATCTATCAGCTGGAAACATTCATGTGCCTTATCCGGGGACCCTACAGCGTCGGTAACCGGCCTCGCTGGTATTTGCGTCGCACTCAGCGTTCGTGCAGAAGCTGAACTACTCGACTTGATCTTCATCAACAGTCTTCTATGTGTTGTTAGGCTACAAGATTCATTTCGAGTAAGAAGTAACCAGCAAGAGAAACGATGTGATTCGCCATCTCTGCCTATGCTCCCATGGATAGTAGCCCGGAAGAAACTAATGATGAACTCTATCAACAGCTGAATGACATTCTCAACCAAGTGCTCTCAACAAATATCGTAGTGCTAGCTGGCGACGTGAATGCTCAGGTCGGGTGCCTAAACTTAGAGAAGAGTAGTTGAGGTGACCAATGGGGACTAGTTAGCCGCAGGTCAGATAATGGGGATCGACTTCTGAAGCTTTGCTCGGATTACAACCTATTTCTAACCAGCACCAACTTCCAGCACAGCTGTCGCCGTTGTGCTACTCGGCATCCTCCGTCTACCACTCAAACCTAAAATCAAACAGATAATATTGCAGTCAGCTACCGATGGCGTCGGTGCAGATAGGACTGTCGCTCCATAAGGAGTACTTGTCTGGACTCTGACCAAGCTGTCGTTTGTGCTAAGCTCGTCTTAAGCTTTCATGGTCGTCCAAATTGTCGTTCCAAACAGGTTGATATAAGGAAATTAGTTACACCTAACATTGCAGCTCAACACCGAGGTAGATTTAAGGCTGGCTCTCGATCTTCAAGAAAGTATACACGAGCATTGGCTGCACTCCCAAGACACCACAAAATGGTGAGTAAAGGCATCTTTAGTTTGGAAGAAAGTCCAGCGAAATCCCTCCAACGTCTTAAAGCCCTTCATTACACTCCGACCGATAGCTAGTACAGTGACTCGTGTAAGTCTCTTACGCGAAAAATTGCACAACGCTTACGCAAAGGCCGTGAGGCTTGGTGGTCAGAACGTGCTGATGAGATGTAAGCAGTAGCTGCTTCAGACAGTAGTTGGAAGCTGTTCTAGCTCATCTGAGCCATTGGCCGCAAGAACTCTGATGTCAGTAAGGCGGTCTGTGAGGAAGTTAGTAAGCCAATAAACAATCTTCAAAAGCGCCTGTAACGCTCAGAGGAGCACTTCGTAAAGCAGTTCAGCTGGCCTACTGGTCAGGAATCCTCAGTTTCAGTGTATTGTGGTACACGGTTAGCTAGCACTGACCAACCTAACGAAGCCGAAGTCCATAAGGAACTCCAAGTTTCAGAATAACACATGACACCAGGCTCAGACAACCTACCCCCTACCCCGTCCATCCTTTTTTAAGGATGGAGGGAACTGTTTAGATTGCTTGAGAAGGTGTGGCAGCCTGAGAGTGTTCCATCACTCTAGAATAAACCCATTGTTGTGCCCATCTTTAGAAAAGGTCTATGTAATGTATGTGAGAATCATCAGAGTATTAGACTGTTACCAGTCCTATCGAAAATATTGGTTGCTATCCCATTTTGCAGACTTTGCAGAACACGTGAGAAATTAATTCGCGAGCAGCAGGCCAGGTCTCATCCAGGTCATGGGTGCAGTGGTCATGTGTCTACCCTCCGTCAGATGCTTGAACATCTCCAAACGTACTGCAGGCCAAAAATCTTTGTGTTCCTTGACAGCAGGGCTGCCTTCGGCTCGTCGGTTAGAGGCGTACTCCATAATTACATAATAACACCTCAGGCAGAGTGAGCGCATTCAAACATCTGTCTCCATTTTTCCAAATCAGCAGTGGGGTTGAGGAGGGTCGCCCAGTTTCTCCATTCCTCTTCAACTTTGCTATCGATGACATTCTTGAGACAGCTGTGACTGTGATATGTGATGGTGGTGTAGATCTACTAACCAGAAAACGGCCATTCAGCCTTGAATATGCGGACGATATTGTCTTACTGTGGGATAACACACAGGCTACTCAAGTCAAACTAAATCAGTTGGCAATAAATGTTCGCAAGTATGGTATGTGGTTTTCACCATCAGAGTGCAAAGTCATTTCTCAGTATTCGCATGAACCTGTGCCTGCGCTGAACCCCGGTTTTGAGCGATTGGAAGTAATCGAAAGGTTCGTGTATCTGGCAAGATATGTAAGTGCTGATGGTAGTGTTAGTGATGAAATTTTCAACCTCATATCAAAAGCCAGAGTGGCGAATTCCACTATGAGCCACCTATGGCGTCGCTGCGGTGCTAGTCTGACCATAAGCGGTTTGATTTTCAGCGTTCCAGAGCTAGAAGTTCTGCTCTACCTGCCCTCCCCAAGATGAGGTTGTGCGACAGCTCTATTTGTTCGGTCATCGTTGTCTCCATATGGTTGTTCTCAGACTGTAGCAACACTATGTAAGTAATTCTGAGGAGTGACAGTGTGTGGTCAGTGTATAAAGTCATAGATTATTGTTTTTCACTCAGAAGGTTTGTGGGGATTTATTGATTTCAGATTGGTATTCATCATGAACTAACTATGAGTTTTTTCGTAGACGGTAGGTGTTAAGCACTATTTAAAATGCCGAAGTTTTCTGGGTTGCCACTTCTGCCAGGACAGCCTTCATATTAATTCTGTGAGAGTTGGGGTAAGGCAATAAATGCGAGTGTACTAATTCAGGGTAAGAAATACAAACTTTCTAGGTGGAAAACATCGGTGACCGCATTATACTTCATAGGATTAGTGTGATATGCACACTGAGCTGTACTGAACACTTACCGTAGAACCAACACAATGCAACACATTCGCAGAATACAATGAATAAAATTGAAATCGGTGCTCCATGACGATCAAGCATATTTAGAACAAGGTATCCACCCTAAAATAATAAACGAAAAGGTCTGTAAAATGACTACTATGGTGATCAATAGAAATATAAAGAAATCACTTTGAGTTTTGTGAATTTAAGAGCATAGTTATAACATTTAGAACATAGACATAAAACAGGCTGAATTAGATTCACTTTTTATCTTGATGAAGGCTTTGGTGTGCTCAAATCGGTCACCGGTGGATAAAAGATGTAGCCATCTGTTTTTGGCCCTTAGCACTGACTGAAGTCTTCATTCTCACCAGTAATCTAAGCGATGTGACACTTTGCTGCACTGCCTTCTGATATCCAGCGTTAACAGTTAGTTAGTGAGAACTCTACTCAACCTAGGTCTCCTGTTTGTCAGGACTCATCAATATGAAGGTCTACAATAAACGTCAAAGATTCATACCAGAGCCAGACAGTGCTGACATCAAAGGCCTTACCAGTAAGAGATTCAGACCTTAACTGACACTCTTGTAGAAATGGATTACACATAAGATTTGTCCAACAGTGGGTAACTTATATAGCTGTCTAGTGATTGGTGCTGAACGTTGATCAAGAGACTTCTGCGTATACTCTGTAGTTATATAAGAGATGAAATCATCACGTTGGAGAGAACGGATTCAATGCTTTGCTGAGTGACAGCTGTTCCAGAACTTGCGTCTCCCCAACAAAACATTAAGTCATCCTCAAACGATTTTGAACCCTTACGCTCATAGCACAAGTAGATATTCTGTCTGCCCCTATTCCCCGAAATCCGCAGCCTAAGTTATGGTTGTCTCTGTAGAATTACACTAGACTTAATGGTCTTAGCTGACCATATTAAAGGAAATAAAGAATCTTGTCTAATCATATGGTTCAAACGAACTGCACTGTTGAAAATTTGTATAGGATTGATACTTAGAAGGGTTCCGCTTCAATACCATCAGCCTTTCGACTAGGTTTATTTATGAATTATTTGAAATTACGATTCCTTTTGTACTAAAAACAGGATTACCATAGCGACGGCTAGATTGTACTTCATTGATGAATTTACTCTTCAGCAGGACAAGATTAACCTGTTCGATGACGTAAATTATAAGCTTTTACCTACAGTATCATGCTTCAGATCAGATCGGATCCATTCCTATGCAACAACAGGTTTTAGAAATTCATGATTTACATCGATGAATTTTTTGCTGTTGAGAGTGTTTAACTTGACGGAATGATCCTCAAGGAATAGTGTAGCAACTGAAAGTGGGATGAAAATCACAAGTGAATAATTTCAAGGCAGCTTTTTCAGTTCTGTTATAACTCACTTTTTGGTTGTTTAGGCAAGTAACATATTTTAGTGAAAACATAGGGATGTTGTCACCTAACAAGTGAGTTACTGGTTTCAGAATTTAACGAATTTTCCATATATTTCTCAGAAATTTCTCAGTGTAGCGAAAGAATAGTTGACAGAACTGCTTCCTAATTTATCTAGAAATTTTCAATTGATATATATATATATATATATATATATATATATATATATATATATACATGATAGCTACTGTCTGAGGGATGGCTATAATTTTAGTTTTATTGTTTAAAACTTTCCGTCACTGACTGGAACGACCTGATCAGTCTTCATCGGTACACATATAGTATACATAGTCATATCAAAACCTTTGAATCAAACAACATGCATCCAAAAGAAATCCAAAGTTCCAAGGCTCCTACTTCATCCTCCTTAGAGTGTTTCTGAATTCTAAAGCGCTGTCAGAAAAACTGAAATCTCGAAAAATATGAAAATTCAACCTGTTTATAGTTCATTTAAGAATCTTTCTTACATACTAGCTCAGAATTTTGTAGAATAGTATACTGTACCTCAAGCCTCTGTACTGAAGAATGAAATGTTGGATTCAGTAGGCATTCAGCAGTAGAAAGTATAACTGCATATAAGGAACAGAACATCTTATTTGATATCCTTGAGTAATAAAAAATTTCACTGCATACAGTCATGAAGAAGAGCGGTCGCTTCCCAGTGTCTCTCAATGTAGATGAACAAAAACTCTTTGAATTCAGTTTCGAGGTTTATATGGATCTGCTGATTTCAAAGTGGTATTCTTCATGGACTGACATCATTTGAAGAACTATTTCAAACCTTAAGGCACAGAACAGGCGTTTCGTTCTAGTAGGAGATTCCTAAGCAGCACGTATCCATGACTCGAAACCTCTGAGGACTGAACATAACACCTTCAGGTTTCTTGGGTAACACTTTACCACAGCACCCCTAGGCAGGGACCCAATAGTTCACACTGACCTACTTGTATCAGTTCGTGATACAGTGCAACTTCATTCTGATGTGACCGTTGAGTATTTGTCCTCACGTCCGACGTTGGTTTGACCCCGCTAGTCATCACTTCTTATCAAAACTTCGGGAAATCTCATCTCAAAGCCATTCACTTATAAGCATTAGAGTGATTCAGTTTGAAGTTTTGTTAGAATTTTATTGGTTTCACGGTGGTATTCATCTTCACTGAGGCTGATGACACTGGTAGTCAACACCAAAAAATACAACGGTCTACTTTTCAAGTTTTCTAATCTGATTACATGGAAATTTTTTTTTAACAAAGACACTCTAATGCGCTTTATCAATAAAACAGAAAATATTCACAGCAAGATATGAATTCTATAGTCAAACGTTCAAAACCTGTTGTAGATACTTATAAATTCAAAATGAAATCAGGCATCTTACACATGTAGTCGATGCCAATGCTCCAATGAAACAGTAGATAACTACTGCCAGAACAAAAAGTTCACGTCTACCAGCTAAAGCGGGAACACTGTCCATAATTGCTGTTATAATCGCCTCGAGGCCACCAAACTATAAAAGAATAAATGATTTCATAGTCAGTAGTTGCATTAATATTATAACATATATTATTGGATTGGTTCATCTTCAATAACAAAAAATACAATAAAGAGAGGGTAATAATCTGGTTAGCGGAAACCATCTCGGACTTACTATGTGAAATCCTAGCCAACAAGCCATAGGAATAACTGTTTCAGGAATCAAAAAAGCGTGATTTCTGAATTTTGTTCTTGGTTGTCAGCAGTTTGATGAACATAACTCTCATGTTCGAAGTGTCAATTACTAGATTCTAGTTTCAGTAGGAGGAACATAACTCAAGGGAATACAGATACATCCAGCTGATGAGTCCCGAATAAGACAAAACGTGTATCCTGTTTTCCCGGCCAACAAACAAATCACATTCTGCTCGTCACTCCTCAAATGGATGAAACCATTTCATTCAGTTCACTTATGACTATAAACAGGTTTTGAATAAACTTTGAGTTAATATTTAGGTAATAAGTACAATCTCGAAAGCAATTTAAGCAGAAAATTTAACTAGAGAGAAGTATCTACAGAAACAGTAGGCTGGCCACTTCAAAAAAATATTGAATCAACCACCACCACAACCTCAAACTAATCCACAAATAACCACTGGAAACCGAAGAACAACCAGTGAATACAAGCCCTCCCACAAATGTACAAGTGAAGTCCTGTACACCATAATCTTGCCGAAATCCAGGAAAGCAGCAGCACCACATAAAATTCCACCACGAGAACTGAAAAATGACACAGACAACACCACACATGCGCACACCACTATTCAAGAAGGTTTGAAACGAAGGGAAGAAGGAAGGAAAGATACCTGACAGTTGATTGGTAGAAGCGATTGTCGCTTGTCAAACTTCCAAACAAGGGAGACCTATGTCTTTGCAGGAACAAGAAGTGGCGAGGAATCATGCTCCTGTCCACACCAAGCAAAATATTACCCACTTCTCACTGGAGAGACTAAGAGATGCTCTGCATTCAAAATTATGACCGGAACAGGATGGCCGGTTGGCTTCGTCAAAAACCAATCATGTGCGGATATAATTGCAACACTACACTACACACCATCATTGAACAGAGTGTAGAATGGCAGTCAACTCTTGTTGTGATGCCCCAGTTTTGTATCAAACATTATTATTGATCTGAACATTTTTTACGGCATGACTAGTAGTCTACCTTCTGCCCTCATTGTAATGTGAATCGCTAATTGATTAATCCTTACTCTTACTATGCAAATGCTTCAAATTGAGAACAAAGCCATTCTCCATGTGTATACTTATTCAAGTGTTTTGGATTGATTAATTATTACATTGTCGGAGTAATGAACTCTGCCGTCTGCCAGATTCGGTCTTCTCTCTATTCTTCCCGGGGTCGCAGTCAGTCACTCTTGCGTACTAAGTTAGCTGTCAGCTAAGCGTGCGTATTATCTTTGTTTCGGAATATATATATAACAATTAGCGTTCGAAAACATAACAACTCTCTACCTCAACTTCATCGATTTTGAAAGTGTCCTCGACAGCATCGACCGACAAGTAATTTGAAAGCTGCTGCCTCAACAATATGCTTACAGTGCCACAAAGATTATCAACACCATTCAACAACTGAATGCCACATGATGCTTGCTGCATGCCAAGTGATTCACAGATGAGACCTCAGTGATGCTTATGAAGTGAAGACAGGAAGGAGTAGGACAAGACAGTCACCTACTACCACCGATGATTCTCCTCATTGTGGTCGACTTGACTAGACTGGATGATGCAGCAGACAGTGAGGAGCGAGAAGAGGGGCATACGCTAGCTGGAACGATGAAAACACCCCACGAGATGACTTGGATTTCGCCAACGATTATGATTTATGTCTAATGTCTTGTGGCACAAACTCGAAGATCTACAGGTGGAAACTAAGACGTTGGCAGAGGAGGCGAGGTGGTGAAGATGGGACTTCCTCCAGGTGAACATAGAGAAGACAGAGGTGATGACAGCTAACAACAACAACAGCAACAACGACAGCAAGCACCAGTCACCACCAACAGGAGAAACCTGCATGAAGTTCTCTCTTTCATCTACCACCTAGATAGCATCGTTTCAACTGCAGGCGGTGGCGGTGTCGGTGGTGGTGGCCACACAGATGAGGACGTTAAAGCCAGGATGGGAAAGACAGCAAGACAGGCCTCCATCAACCTGAACTAATCAGTGTGGAGATCTACTCAGCATGAAGCCTGAACATGATCCGACTATTCAACACTACGTCAGTCAAGTAGGTCAGTGCTTCTATGTGATGTTTGGGAGACTTAGAGTGTTACGAAGATCATTTCCAACAGACTGCATACATGCATCACATGAACAGCTGCCGCCTACACTCAGTCGATACTGAAGATCTATTAGATGGTCATAATGATGAGAAAAAGCAAGGAACAAGGAAGTGTGGCTGGCTGGCTGGCTGGCTGACTTGCAACGAACAAACCAACAACCTATCGTCCAACAAATTTGCAGAAGGAGAAAGTGGAGATGGATTTGATTGGATTGGGCATACATTGAGAAGACCGACTGGGGAGATCATGCATCAGGCCAAGTGGGGTCGTTGAGTGGAATCGAATTGGGAAACTATGAGTTGGGTGTCCGTGGTGATTGTGACATGGAGGAGATGGTGTGATGATAAATGAAATTGTTGATGGGAGTAGTGGATCGAGGTTGTAAATAGCGGAGAGAGGAGAGTGAAATGGTGAGGTGCTACTGAAGCCATATGTTCCACTAGGAACTCAAGGAACAAATAGTAATATGCAGTTTGTCTGTAAACAACGAAACATTTATTCCGTATACAGTCACTTGTTTATCTCTTAATGACCACTTGAACGCAAGTTCTTCATGTTAAATCTACGGAATTGAAGATTTTACCAGCCACCCTGATATCCCAGTTATCTACCTTCATGAAGAACTCAACCTGAACGCAGATAACTCAAAATATGTTCAAGATAGAAATATTAGCTTAATAATTGGTTTATGTTCTCCAGGCTTTTCGTTCGTTCACAAATGTTTCACCATTTGGCTAGGCAGGCAACCTAATCAGCGGTTTTGCTTTGTAAAATAACCACGAAGCTTGGAGGTCACCAAGTAATTATCATTCTAATACGGAATTACATATCTTTACCACCTCGAGGACCGGTTTCTGAATTTTAAACAATTACGCTGAGTTGGCTATTTCATCAAAAGTGAGTACACTAACATCAGTCGCATTACTATGTTAAAATGGTTGTCATGAGTTCACCGTAATGACCACTGAAGTCATCAATTACATTTCTTCATTTCAGTTGAATAGGTTGTCTACGTCAATATTTGTCTGGGTAGCCTTTGAGATCATCAAAACATAAGGAAATATTATTAGTTATTTCATGCATGAATTGAGTGATCTTCTATGTAGCGCATTGAAAGACTATTTAATTATGTAAATTGTAGTTATTAAGGTTAATTTTGAAGTCATTCTCATACGATAGTTTTTTTTGTGAAATGCTTGCAGATTGGTTATTATTCATAAATGCAATATAGGTATTGTATTGCTGGTGTTCATGAACTTTCATTTACAATTACGAGTAAATTTTGTTGCGTATATTTCATATTATTAATGTCAGTGATAGTAAGAGCCCCATGGGTTTCAAAAAAACTCCTTTTCAAGTAGTTTTTCTAATCTTGTTATTGAACTACTTCACACTGACTGACTTCAGTTAACTTACTTGAAACTGAATTACTTGTTATAGTAATTTAGTTTCAGTACACCTGTCATTTGCAAAATATGCTTCATTCCCTCTTCTGCTTCTTTCTTGATTTGCTCTTCATATGCCTGCCTTTTCTCTTGCATTTCTCTTGGTGGAATCTTTACCCAATGCTGGTAATTCCCTATGATTTTTGCAACCCTCTCACATATACTACTTATATCTATTCTTATCAGCAACGCTCACAACACTGTTGTGTCATTTTCTCGAGGTAATATGCAGTATTCACCTTCGACATTGTTGTTTGGGGCTATTTTGATCTTACACTCGATTTGATTATTTATTCTCTCTCTCTCTCTCTCTCTCTCTCTCTCTCTCTGAAGAATTGACTTCAACAAGGTCATGAAATGTCAAAATTTTATTCTTCTGTCTCATTACGATTTTACAAATATGTCTTTTTTAAAAAAATAATTAACCTAGTATTCAACTTTTTCAGTTCTATCAGATCAGATACGATTTTTATTCTTCTGAAACATATATGTTATAAATTGCACATCTGAAATGCATATAGTCCTTTCATGAAAGTATAATCAGTAAAACGTACTGTGCATATCAGTGCTCAATGATGTCTTGAGCTGTTATATACGCCATTACGTTTTGATTGCAACCATCTAGAAATATTATCTTTAAATTTCAGTGAACTTCACTACAGAAAACACCAACTACCATAGGTAATTTTATTTAAAACGCCATTGAACTAAGCGCCATTATGAATGAACATTGAATCATTTCACATAAATAATTTAATGTTTTACTCATAAACAGGCTGTACTCACAGTACTATCAAGGCCAAGTGTTATAAGCATCAGCATGAATATGATTGCCCAAAATGTTGAACCAGCTAGTGTTGCAATAGCTTCAGGTAGGCGATGAATACTAAACCAGGTCCTATTATAAAAAAGAAATATAGAAGAAGATTAAAAATGATAATGGACATATGTTGCCCTCTTCAGACACAGGTAATTTGATAAAATGTGTATTAAAAGAGCGGCGTTCAAACTGAGTACACACCTGGTACATTTGATGATAAGTATAGCATGAATTATAATTCATACTGTCATCATAGTCAGTTTGTGGTTAGTGCAGATGCATTGATTTCAAAGTATTCACTGTAGTCTGATATCAGTTGAAGAACCATTGAAAATCTAGGAGCGGTGAACACTTATTACTTCGAAGTATGCACTGCCTGAGTTGTATACAAATACAACGTTGCGATGGAACAAGGTTAGGATTATCAAGTATTATGGCGGGCATCTTGACATCCAGCCACTAGATTCGTATTTTACTACTTCTGTCATGAAACAACCATCGTCGCATGCCGTCGGCAGGTATATGTCATAACAACAAACTGAAATAATCCAGTTGGTCACGGCTTTCAATTAGAACTTCGAAAAATCCAACTAGAAAAGTCGTATATGAGAAGAAACAACTCCCAATGGCATTAAATGATGGTGATGCTTTATTGTGAATAGACGGAAGTATAAGAGTATGGACCCCTGAAAATTGACCCCCTTGTTGAATGATAACCTACTGATTACTAGAGCTGACAGTCTTGAGGTTTATTCTTTGTAAGGGATGCCTATGCACCACTGAGGAGTACCGAACTAGGATGGAACACATTCAAACTGTTAACTTTTGGGATGTTTCCCGAAATTAACTGGATATTTACAAAGCAATTCATTATTGAGATGCTTCTGCGTTATTTTGATAGTAAAGTCTGAACTTTCTTTTTTATATTCTTACCAGTCCTACATATTCACATGCAAGTTAGTGTGTTTTCAACATTTCAGAAAAGCCCATAAATACAGAAAAGTTTCAAATGGAGTGTGACGGTTTTAGGTGAACAAATATTAAACATACTCCACCCGTAATCAGTACAGTGATTACCTTAAAAACCAATGTATGCTGTTAGCATAAGTGCAAAACTTGGGCACTTTAGTAGAATTCCATATTAGATTTATTTAGTTGATTTATAACATACAGTGATATAGTATCATTTACTTGATGACAAAGTTTCGAGCATAAATTATCAATGCTCATAATCACAGCAATCTAGTCACACTACTTTCCACATCTGACTTTTTATACTACTGTCACCCATCTCATATTCTTTGTTTTCATTTGTAGTAAAATTTTATCCATATCTCTGGTATAGGTGTTGCGTCATTCCTGTTACATGTGTTGAGTTGGCTGTTGATTCGATGAAAAAAGACTCAATAATCAATCAATCTCTCCACCTAATTTGATTGCAGTCAAGTACAGTGGTTTAATCCTACCGTATTGTGTGGTTGTGTATTAATGCAAAATAACCTAATCTAGATAGCGTGGTTAGAAGACGAAGTTTATTTGAACAATGTGTGTAGTGTATTTGCGCAGTACATTTCGAACAATCTGATCACACATTTATTTGTCAAGTCAATATATATTAAACTGAACAGTAATAGGACAAATACAACACTTAACACAATAAAGGATTAAAATGAGAAAAGATGAGAACAAACAGGAAGTGACCTGGATCGTCACAATCTTTGTCCAATCCAACGCAAGTGAGGTCTAGTAAATGCCTGTTAAACAGGATCTATCGTATCAGTAAATCGGATACGCAACACCTATACCAGAGACTTGGATAAAATTTTACTACAAATGAAAACAAAGAACTTGAGACGGGTGACAGTAGTATAAAAAGTCAGATGTGAAAAGTAGTGTGACTAGATTGCTGTGATTATGAGCATTAATAATTTATGCTCGAAACTTTGTCATCAAGTAAATGATACTATATCACTGTATGTTATAAATCAAATAAATAAATCTAATATGGGGGAAATGTATACTGATGTTCTAGGCAACAAAATAACACATTATGCTTTTACAAAATCAATAAAATGACTTTTTCGTCTGCAGAATAATTTCAGTCCTTTTTACTTCTTACTTCGAAGTCCTACCTCAAGACATTATATTATAATGGAAATTCCTTTTTGCTAAATGTTTCCATAGTATTTATTCTTCAACGATATTCTTCGCAGTTGAGTTGCCTTGAGATCATTTGGTATATGGTGTCAAAAAGAGTTTTGTTGGAAAACACTCAATCCAAGCGACGGAGCTTTAATATCAAGATTGATGAAAGAACGGAATGGATTATTGAAAGTCGTCCTTACTTCAAAAGTAATCATTCTTTGCTGTAATTTATGTCATGTAGCTCAGAATAAGCGAAGTATATAATGAAGTTTACATTTGACTTATGTTTGTGCATTAGCTTCTGTAGTCTTAAACTAATCACATCAGGATCACTTGGTGTCTTTTTACTTGATATATGTATTTTAACTCCTTACTTGAAACAAAAGGATAGAAATTATACATGGTTACAATTCCATATTAGACTGTCTATTTGATGTAACACACATGGTTAAACTTTAGGAAATTTCATTGCTTTTATTATATTCAGCATAAAAGAACATTTGGTTGTCTATTTCTCAAATGCCTTAGCTTGAAATGAACTTTTCGATTGTTTGGTCTCATTACTGGTCAACTGAAATGATTGTAACATGAATAAATTATTTTGGCAGTCATTGATGATAACGTTATTTTTAATTAAATCCAGTTTCACCAATTGACAATAATATTTTTATGCAATAAGTAATCTGACACCATATTACATTTTCAAGCCTCTCGGTTAAGTGATATAAATAGTTTTGTACCTGATTTAGGAAAAACCTATCTTATAATAATAATAATAATAATAATGGTAGTAATGGTAATATTAATAATAGCCTTATTCCAAACAAGGCTTGTGATACAAGAAATTCCCAACATGTAATAGTTCATAAATTCATTCCCTGTAAAATACCATTGGCCGCAGTAATCATTACATTTGAATAATACTAATAATTATTATTTATTATTATTATTCGTCCCTTGGGTTTCTAGTGGAACATAGTAAAAGTAGAACATCTCCAGTGCACTCTCTTCTCTGAAATCTTTTGAACCTAGCTCGATGACATCTCACAAGCCTTCATTTCCTCGTCACATGATCTCCTCCATGTCACCCTCGACAACGACGCCCAACTCGTTGCTCCCCATCTGGGTTCCACTCGAGGGCCTGGCCTGGCGCGTGATGTTCCCAAACGGTCTTCTTAGTGTATTCCCAATCCATCTCCTCTTTCTTCTGCATATTTGTTGGGTGAAAGGTTATTAGTTTGGTTCGTCACCACAGTTCCTTTTTGCTTGTTCTTATCATTCTGGCCATCTGATCTTCAGTATCGAGCCAGCGTAGTCAGTTGTTGATGAATGTCTGTAGTTTGTTGGAAGTTCACGATGCATACTACCTTAAAAAAATAATATTCCCATAAGCCTCAAACTATATCGAAGCATCGGATATATGTTTTATCAAATTCCTCTCTCTTAATTTGTTTTAATCTTATAAACATATCGTTTAAACATGTGGAGTACTGTTGCCGTATTTTGAGCTAACAACAAGAATAAACGACGCACCAGTAAGAGATGGGCCTATAAATGCACAGAAATACAGTAGATTGCTATTCGTTGCGCTCTATATATTCTTTTCATTCACTGGTCTAAATTAGACGCTAATGCAGTACACGGTATCTGTTTCACACAGAGACACTCAGCATAAAGAACAAGATCCGGATTTTCATCACAAATATCAGTCAAGTCACTGCTTTATATGGTTCAGAAACTTGGCGCGTTAAGAAAGGGATTTCCAATAAACTACAGACATTCATCAACAACTGACTACGCTGGCTCGATACTGAAGATCAGATGGCCAGAATGATAAGAACAAGCAAAAAGGAACTGTGGTGACGAACCAAACTAATAACCTTTCACCCAACAAATATGCAGAAGAAAGAGGAGATGGATTGGGAATACACTAAGAAGACCGTTTGGGAACATCACGCGCCAGGCCAGGCCCTCGAGTGGAACCCAGATGGGGAGCAACGAGTTGGGCGTCGTTGTCGAGGGTGACATGGAGGAGATCATGTGACGAGGAAATGAAGGCTTGTGAGATGTCATCGAGCTAGGTTCAAAAGATTTCAGAGAAGAGAGTGCACTGGAGATGTTCTACTTTTACTATGTTCCACTAGGACCCCAAGGGAAAAATAATAAAATAATAAATTCATCGAGGACTGAAATCATTTGGAAAACATATGCCCGACAGTAATGAACAGTTGTTTTGTCCTGGTATGGGACACTTCAGCAGAACCTCTCAGCGACCCCGCGAAGACTTTCACTGTTTCTAGTGAACGCAACAACCATTCAGTCATTGATGTTATAGTTCAGTGGTCTACAGTTTCTCACTTCTTTCAGTTCGCGATATAGCGTGACTTTTCACCAAGATCTTCATTAACCATCCGCTTCACTTCCCACTGATGAATTGAAAGTTTTCTTCATCCCACAAGCAGAATAATAATCGAATACTAGGCGGAATCTGATCAAATATAGATACCACTTATTTCAAACATTTCAGTCAAGCAGAGGTTCCAAAGACTTCATATGGACTTATCAATTAACCTTCCATCTATATCTACACATAAACATCACCAATATGATATCATATGAGTGATACAACGTTAAAATACTTCATTCTGTGAGATATTTCATTTTTCAGTGTTATTATACAATTGTTTAGTGGGATAAAAAAGCTACTCTGGTTTGTGCACACGAAAGTAAATTCAAAGATAGTTAAATGGCCGTATTTTGCCCAACTAAAAAGTGTTTATAAGGTGAAAAATGCTAGGAGCAATAAACCAGCTGGGTTGTGCGACAGTTTAATGAAGTGAACTGGTTGACAGTTCTGTGTCCTGATGCTAATCCGTTTGAAGTTCGTCCAGAGGTTCTTTCAAATAAAATCCACTTAAGAATTTCAGTATTTATAGAAGAAAAAAAAGTGTTAGTTACCCCAACCCAGGATTCCTTTCATCAGAAAGTAGTTCAGGTTAGTCTAGACCCAAATAGCTTGGTGATAAGATTACTGACTGTAACAGTGGATGATGTCAGTTAAAATGTCTTAAAGACCATCAGCTCTCTTTAGGTCAAAGCAATATCTTACTGATGATTGCCAGAAGGATGAAATCCTGAGTTGAGTAGGGCCTCTTGGTGATTACTTCTAACAATCTGACGTCGGTCAGAATGCAGTGTGGAGGAATCTTCTATCTTGCAGAGATGCTGCAAAATGGTTGATTGAGTTCAGTCAATAGAACAGACAATAAGATATTGGTTACTGTATGGTAACCAGTCAACATATGTAACTATATTGCTTCACATTGTTTAAACATAAGTCAGGTTCATCATTTAGAAACTTTGATTGCCGAAAAAAATGTTCTTACTAAGAATAATTCAATATTTATTACTCAGGAAACAAGTCTTCTGGAATCTGTCCATTGGTTTTGTCAAAGTAACCACATGTGGACACCTGGTTCCCTACAACGGGTTGAGGGGACTATATGGCACTTAGTGCTATTCTGCTTTGTAGTTGTTAAATTAGCCGCCAGAGGTAGTAGACATAAGATGGATCCAAGTGTTTCACTGCTGTCACCTTTTCACTGTGACCATTATGTCGTTGTATCACGTCATGAAGAATATAAAGATTGAGAGTTGGGTTTTGGGCAAAAGTGGTTGTGTAACAGTATAGACTAAGGTGTTTTAAATATATGTTTCGCATTTTCATTCTCTGTCTTTCTTATACGAGGGAGTATTAGGTTGGTAAGAGGCTAAGGGTATCCAGGCTGAAGCATGATGTTAGTGCATGGAGTCTTGAACGGCTAATCTAGATCATGGTGGCAAATATACTGTCGTGGTGAGCATGGCAGGTTCGAGACTGGCGGTAGTTTAGCTCAAAAGTGATCGTAGTGGCCCTCATGAATGCAAGCTTTATCTTCGTTCTAACCATTTTACCGCATCCATTTATTTACTTTAATCTTTCTTTTCATATTCTAGTGTTTTATAACCTTTCATTACATTAGTTCCATTTCTTTGTCTTTGGTCTTATTGCCTTGTTGTTTTGGTTGGCTAGTGTGAGACATTGCAGACAGGAATAGGGGATCGCATGCTGATATTGACTCACTGGTTATTGTTTATTCATATGAGATGTTGTTTCTGCCGACATAAAACTCATGAAAGTAAAGGCTTTCACTTTTATTTGTCCAGAAGATTTATCTAAAAAGTGACTGTCCATCAAATAGTCAAGCAATACTTCAAGCGTACACCATTTACACCATTATGATCTTCATTGAAAAACTCAGACGAGTATCGTGAATGCTTTTTTTCGTTCCTTGCTTATTACCAAGATGAAAATGACAACAGAGTCTAGTCTAACTAAAGGAAGAAACAGTGTCCTTATTCTGTTTATCAGATATATCACATAGTGACGCAGTATTGCCTGACGGATAGTGTTTCAGATACAATATATTGTCAATGGTCATATCAATAGCCTAGAGTTGCCTTTTACCACAGTCCCCAAGTTTTAATCGTATGCTGACTGAGTTTTGTACATCATTGTAGATTGATTCTCATCTAAATGTTAAAAAATGAATGCATTATATCAAGGTGAATTACTCGATTGTTGAAGTGCATAATAACTCAAATGATTCCACATTTGACATAAGTGAATGTTGAACGAAATGAATGATACCCTAGTGATCAACAAAAAACATAAGTCTCTTTCTTCATAGAAATAACAGAACAGTTTAATCAAACAATTTGCCAAGAAACATACATACCTTCATTTGCAACATCTTCCATTGTCTTCCCCATACGGAAACACATATATCCCAAAACAGAGAATACAACAAAGCCTGAGATGAAACTCGTTACACAGTTAATGATACTTGTAATCATTGCATCTCTGTTTCGTGTTCAATTTAAGGTGAAAAAACAAAAACAACATATGGTTAGACTATTATCTTACTATAAACAAAAATCAAGTTAAAGGTAATTCACTTCTGCATATTTCCAATGGAATTGGTCTTCCACTCAAACAAACTTTACCATCAGAACTAAGAAAAACACAATGTTTTCCTGACATTTTAATTCCTATATTTGTTGTTATTTTGCGAAGATACAATAAACCTTTGTGGGATTGTTCATGTTCCCATTTGTTTTTGGGGATCCTAGTATAACACTTCCCGAGATGAAGATTTGTGGTAGTTTCTTCTTGTATAATGAAAAAAATCATAAATGAATTTCATCCATCCATTTTACCATTCTGTTTATACATCTCATGATTCTGTTGCTGATAATCTTACTTTATTGACCTACATAACTATTACACTGATCGGCAAATGAAGACTTAACTCTGTTCTACTATACGACTTTAATGCATTAAACATAGATGAGAAGAGAAGGCTTCAGGTGTTTGACCACCATTACCTTCGTAGTATGGGCCGTGTGCAGCAATGGCCCGCATGAGTAGCGAAGAAGTCAGCTGTAGAGCTTCAAGAAGAAGATGAAAGTCAGTTAATGAGGTTATGAACCTTAATCGACTGAGGTGGCTGGGACAAGTGTTACGTATGCCTAGTCGCCATTGGCCTCGTCAAGCAATGTTAGCTGCAGTAGGTTCATACTGGAAATGGGTTAAAGGTACCCTGACAAGAAATGGCATCAATTCAGGAAGTCCTTGACTGTTGGTTGAGACATATAGGGATGAGGACTAAACCGGTTGTGGTAGGTGTGACAACATGAACCAGTAGTTGGAGACTGTAGCTGAAACGGCTGAGAATCAATATCAGTGGCGCATATGTGAACACACATTATCTTCAGCATTTATCATTCCTCGTTCCTCTCTTTTACTGCATTCTTCTGCTTTTGAGTAACGTTTCATTCTTTCTTCATCTTTCATCTTACTACTTTGTTTTTTGTTGGACCACTAGACAATAATCACTGGTCCTATGTTGATGATGAAATGAGGAGTGACTCATACTTTGTGAGGGAAATGATATAGTCTTAAGTCTAGAGAACTTTACATTGAGCTGTTCAGCTCCTTAGACCACCTCTTCTCCAAATCTTCACTAATCATGGAGATAAATCTATATTTGTCAGCATTATTGCGCAAAGCAAGGAGATTGCGTTTCTCATTGAGCAGTGTTTGCTCAACTTATTTGATGTAGTGTCACTTACTGGATAAAGTTTCGGACTCAGTTCACTGTCTTCATATATATCAGGGTAGTCAAGCGCCTCTAAACACTTGGTTTTTTTCACAGTCTTACTAACTACCGTTTTCCGGGCCAAATGACGGTTGTAAATAGCATTTAACTCCATTTCCTCTTCAGTTTACTAGATTGAAAGCACTAGGTTTTCTATTTTCGCTACCAAAAGGTCAAATATCACATGGAATCATTACTATTTCATCATTAGACTTAAAAAATAGAGAAGAATCCTTCATACCTATAGCAGTTATTATGAAATTTATTGTAACTGGATAAAGCCAATAGAACTCCAAATCCTGGACCGAGTGAGAAGAAGATTTGTGATGCAGCATCACTCCAGACCTAAAATTAAAGCGATAAGTAAATTAAACTCATATGAGAAATAGTATGTCATTCTTCTGTGTATCGTTGACCAGGCAAAAATCTATTTCACATAATTTTTCTTCACTCAAATTTAGCGTAACCTCTCAAATAGAACTTTCTTGATCATCTATAGGCCTGTTAGACTACTAGATAGAATAACCGAGTTTCTGCACGTCATAAGCATGGACAGTTTTTGGTTATAAATATGTGGGTAGGTTTATTCTCATGAATATATGACTAGAATTTGGACACATCGGTACAGTATAGTCCTATTATGGTCCTTTTGGTTATGTAAGAGTTTTCATGTTTTCTAAACGTAACTGACTCACATAGCTAGTTTGACCATGTATTTAGACTCACAGTTATTGCATGGAATATGATAGACCTAGTTAAATATAAAATGATAGATGTTTACGAGACGGGAGGTTTAGAAAAGAGCTCAGCCACAGACATACGTGCTGCCAAACCCGACCACACAATAGGATGGTATAGGAAGACAGTTTCAAAAAGTGTCTTGGTTCGGTGTAAAAAGAGTTTGATAACTGAGCTTTGTTTATTGAATCGACATCTGACACATGCAACAGCAATGATGCAAAACCACATGAGATGTTTGGAAAATTCCTCACTACCATTTAAACAGAAGAGTAAAAAACAGGTTTCGCAAAACTAGACCAGATAGTTGTGTGATTGCTTTAGTTTGATTATGAGCAATAAAATGTGCTTGAAACGCAATTGGTAAATAATACTGCCTTACTTTCTGGTAGTTTTTATTATAGCAGAATTATAATGAGGTTTATTTCAACTTTCTAATGGATTAGGTAGTGGAAAGATACAAATTAGAATACCTTAAGTAAGTTTCAAATTCTGATTTCCAGTGCTGACAGTGAGTCACGGGGTCATTCCTTTCATGAATATTTTTGTAAGGAAGTCTCTAACTTCAGGATTGAGTGGAGTAGGTTTAAATCGAAGCAGACACCTTGCAGACACCTTTTACTGATGAGTGTCAACAACACTGGAGCCTAAGTAGAACATGTCCTTCTACCGATTAACTCCTAACATCCGATACCAGATTACAGTGCACCATGGTGTCATCATTTAGCTTCAATTAACTCTGTGGTTACATTAAAACTTTGACCAACGCTAAGCATTAGTACTCGACAGTTATATTGGTTATCTATTGGTAACCAATTGGCGTAAGTTTCGAATGTCTCATACAATATTTCGGAGGGAGAAGCTAAAGTAATAATTGAGCAATGTAGCATCAAGAAGAAAGGGATCTACTGTAATTGTACTATTGTTGTACATGCGGTTGTATACGCAGTCAGTGTGGCTGAAATCCACTCTAACATAAATTCCACTAACTTAGAGGTCATTTACTAGCTCCGCTTTAATGTAAACTTTTCCTCATGAAGACGTTCTCTAAGTGAATTGGCAACTTGAACAATAGAAGCATTCGGTGAAGAGACGTTTTAATACGAAGAAATCTGTCATATGGGAATGATGGCTTCATCATTTCAGAAAAATCATACATAATGAAGTTTGAGATTTCATTTTACAACTTATCGTACAATTCAAGTTTATATCTGTTTGTAGTAGAGGCCAGAGGCTAGGTTTATTTCATAGTCGATTAGTCTGTTTGATATGCACACAGTGACATAGTATTACCTACTAGATGACGCTTCGAGTATAAGTTATCGCTTACATAGTCACATCAAGGTGACGCGAAATTTTCTGGTATGGTTTTTGATAGTTCTATTGTTTTGCCTTCTTTGATTTAATTGGTAATAAAGTTCTCTGCGCATCCGTAATTGGCGCTGCATCATTCTTATTAAATATGCCAAGCTTTAAGCCAATGACAGAGATTTACTGGTGAAACCTGTCTTTTTCCACTTAACTACATGAAGCTTCAGAACTGTAAATCTGCCCCATCCTACTGTGTGATTGTGTGTTATTAAATGCATAACTATGTCTGAGTTCTCTAGATTACTCCACTTAGCAAGATCTACCCTCTACTCGAAGGGACTAAAATCAAATCATTTAGGTGTAGCTGAAGCGCTAGCCATTCAGAAGTTTAAACCGGCGTTATATGTCCAAAAAAGGTATATTCAACCTTAATCTTTGACATGGTCATTGTACGGTTTTCATTACCATAAACTTACCCCTTATTACGTAATTGTATATTTTATTTTCATAATCCCTTGTTTATTTTTTCACTCTGAACCATCAGTTGTATTAATTAATTTCCTTTCGTTATTTACTATGGTTTGCCCCTGAATTCTGAGATGTTCTACTCAGTTTCGTAAATGACTTCGTCAAAATGAAAACTTTCAATTTGCGACAATTGCCTTTTTGTCTTTTCCTAGGATCTATCAATGTAGACTTAGCAAAGTTCCTGTGTTCTGTTAAAATCTGACTGACCCCATTCAGCTTGAATGTATTCAGAAAGAAGAATTATAGTTTATACTTTTTAATAAAGAATTCTGAAAAGAAACTCACAGATATACTCAATAAACTTGAGAAATTCGGCGTAAGATAGTACTTTATGCCAGTTAATGAACCCTGTAGCGTTAAGCCTCGTATAAGCAGAATAGTTAAAATAACATAAGGCAAAGTAGCAGTCACCCATACAGCCTATAATAAAAACCAATAGAAATTAGGACAAAAGTAGTTACAGCAAAGTTTATCATTATTAAAAACCAATAAAGATGGTTAAAAGGTTTACATAAGAGAGATTCGCGTTTACTTGTGGCATAATACCAAATATTAGTGACCACGCCAAAATAACGTAGTCATCAGAGCTGTATTACTTTTAATGAGTGTATTTCCGTCGGAGTTAAGCAAAACATTGGGATCCATTAAAACTACAGTAAACCCTGCTGTCATATAGCATAGGATTAAGTAAAGGTCTCAGTTTCCACTGGAGCCAGATGACAGATAACTCGAAATAACCGTTTCAAGTTTCACTCGTAATAGGCCTAACGGATAGGAAGCAAGCTATTTGGTCTACCCAAGTAACTAGAAAATGTTATTCAACCTGGTTGATATGAACTTAAAATTTGGGCAGTATGATGAAATATAATTATATATTAAATTATTTACTGGATATGGCACACAGTGATACATCACTTACTTGATGACGTTTGGAGCATAAATTATCACCTACATAATCATACACAGTAATCATGCAACTTTCAATATCTTCGATATGGATGATACCTACTTCCTGCTACATGTGTTGGGAAATGATGAACTGAGATTCCGTAATCAAAAACCAACTCATGTAACTGGAAGTCCAAACCATCTGTAACTGATATATAGAAAAGTTTACAACCAATAAAAGTAAAGAATATGAGGTGATCGAACTATGCAATGCAGATGTGAGCGGTGATTTCTGCTTGAAACATCGTCAAGTTACACACTACATCAATAAACAAACTTAATAGGTGAGTCACATATAATCTTCTAGTCAATTTCCAAGTTTTTTTACCAATCAAAGTGTACAGACAGATAAAAGTGAATTGTTCATGGAGTACTTCATAATTCAAAGATTTGCCACCTTGAACGTATCTTCTGATCTTAATTTTAGTGTCATTGTTTACATGGAGTCAAGAGTCATGCATATTAATGGTTGCACCATATTGCCAATAAACCGAAATTTATGAAAATGAACCTCATGATTGAAACTTTCTTGTTGAATGATGACGTAATTACTGGAGATGCAGTATCTCAAACTCAGCAAGAATGCAAGGCACATAGACGGCGGCATAGTCTTCGTAGTTCAACTACAGCTCGTATCATAAAAAACTCATCAAATCATGTAGTTGTGAATTATTTATGTTCACCTTTCAGTACTTAGTTCTGATACTAGTCGATTTCAGGCAGTTGCCAGTAACCCATGCCTGATCTAGCTTTCTTACTTCGAGGCACCTTTCAGTAAGGCTTTTGTGCTACACCGAAGGGATCGGGGTTCGAAACCACTTCGCTTAGTGCTTCATTCTGAGAAATCATCACCGTCATCATCATTTTGCCCTGGTTTTTGGTTGGACTCGACAAGATATAATGGTATGTCTCAGCAGAGTTGCCAGTTTCATGTGAAGGTGGTAGATATACCTTTCTGATGAGTGTGGGAAATCAAAAGACTTGCGTCTAGCACGGCATGCTGCCAGTTGCCTTCAATCATTAATATCAATCAAAATGTACCGCAAAAGTCAGTTTCCTGGCTTAGTGACAACAACAACTTAAAATGACCAAGAGAATTCGGTCAGCACTTGAGACCATACATCACGAAATTGATCAGCCATCAGTTACCAATCAATATAGTTCTGAGGTTTGATTTACCTAATCGAAGCAATTCGTTTACTGACATCTTACTAAAGACAAGTAGTAGTATCTTTGGCCGGCAATCTATGGAATAATGAAAATGTTTCTTTCTGAAATTAGTTAACTGAAGGATGAGCACAACCATTTTGACTAAGTGAGAGATAATTTTGGTCGGCGTTTCAGATTGGTTGTAGATTTCTTAATTTTAATAATTTCAGTGCCTATAGACATGTCGATCTCTTCATATGGTTTTGTTTGGATATATTCGTCATTTGGCTGAAATAATCCCATGTGTCTGCTATTTAGTTACTTCTATCAGACTTGACAGTTACTATATTACTGTCATTTCGTAGGTTATTTATAACTGAATTCTCTGGTTTTCTAAATTTCACCTTGTCTTTTTTTGGTGCTGATGCATACTGTGCTCTACTTGTTAAGCAGCTGCTAAACCCACCAATCCTAATATCACTTCTACCCTAGCTAGACATGACAGCTTCGGGCTTCCGATGTCGCACTATTATGCTGAAGATTATTCTTTTTTCAAGTACTTTCATTTTAGTTGAGCTCACGGTTTTTGAGGAAGGACTGACCACCGACTTTGTTTTCATGATGGTTGGTGATATTTCATTTGTATTCTCGTTATTTCCTAAAGTATATTTTTCTTGCATTAATTTCTTGAACTTTTTGACTTGTTGAAGGCATCTAATCTTGTTTTATCTTATGTTTCTGTAAGAAATCCATAGTCTTTGAAGATTCTAAAAGCAAGAGCACAACCATTTAATTGATAAAAACAAATAAAATGCGTGAGACATACTTTTCCGCTGCTTTTTACTCCTTTCCAAAGTGAGAAATACACTATTGTGAATACCACAATTAGGCATAAAGCGATTTCCCAGCGTATCGGACCAATATCATCATATCCTTTGGCGTATTGGATTTGTAAAACTCGACGACTTGTAAGGTCGAGGGTAATGTGGATAAAATAAAAGTAAAACGTTTAAACTATGTTTAATCTTTTCGAGATAAGGTGGTAGTCTTCATAAATCTGAATATATCTAGAATTCACCCTGACTACAGAATACATCACAACAAAAATTTTTGAAATGCTCCCTTTACTTGCATTATATGTAATGTAATTCCTTGTCGATAACCCAGCAGTTTACTATGGAACATCTCACTGCGTTTCCATGCGAAATCACTTAATTCATCTATGCTGCTACTTACCTCTCGATTTTTTGATGACCCATATATTTTCTGAGCATATCACTCGAAACTTGACTGACTTTTATGATCTGGAGAGAAAACTACAATTACTGTCGTCTAACTAATAGTTAATATGGGAAGCTCAGTGGTGCTTTTGAAGTGAAGACAGGAGTAAAACAAGGCTGTCTACTATCACCATGATATTCCTGATTGTGGTCGACTGGATCATGCAACAAACAGTGAGGAGCGAGAAAAGGGGGATATGCTGGCTGGACTGCGGAAAAGAACCTAGAAGATTTGGATTTCGCCGGTGATGACTTACGTCTAATGTCACACAAACTTGAAGGTCTATAGGCGAAAACTAACAAGTTGACAAAAGAGGCAAGGCAGCGAAGACGAGACTTCAAGTGAACGTAGAGAAGACAACAACAAAGAACTATGGCTGGCAACGAACCAACCAAGAACCTATCACTCAACAAATATGCAGAAAGAAGTGGAGATGGATTGGATTGGACATACACTGAGAAGACCGATTGGGGACATCACGCATCAGGCCAGCCAGGCACTCGGGTGGGACTTAGATGGGAAACGACGAGTAGGGCGCCCGTGGTGAGGGTGACATGGTGGAGATGGTGTGAGAAGAAGTGAAAGCTGTGGGCTATCGTGGATCCAGGTTCAAAAGTTTGCAGAGAACGGAGCTCACTAAAGACATGCTACTGAAGCCCTATGTTCCACTAGGAACCAAGGGACAAATAATAATATGATGATAACTCATAGTTAATGATACTAACTCTCAGTTTTATCAAGATGAAACGTCAGATAATTCAGTGTCATACTTAACACTCATTCGTTCAAGATAATTCTATAAAATGTAATATGTTTCCAAGTTTAAATAACTCACTAATAACATAACCTTATGAATAAAAATGGAAAAATGTGTGTGAAAATAATCCATATGATTTTGAAATGGTGAAGAATATTTGTAGCTCAAGATGTCATCAGCAGTAACATAAGTATGAAGTCAAACTGGAGTTACTGCTGATGATGTCGTCTGAAAGACGACGAAATCTCCACGATTAAGCAACCCAATTCAGAGAACACAGTGTAATGTTCACAAAGTTCAACTTCTAATCGATCTCAGGGTAGTATTCATTACAGGCTGACATCGGTTACAGAGCCACTGAGAACCTTGGGGCAGTGGACAATTGTTTCATCCTAGTAAGGGACACATCCATGACCCCCGAGGAATCCAACCCAGGACCTTCATTTCTCCTGGAAAACGCGTTAACCATTCAGCTACCGGGTTGGAGTGTAATGGTCTAGAGTTTCTTACTTCTGTCGATTCGCGAAACATTGTGATTATCCAATAAGTTCTTCAGTTGACATACGCTTCCAATTGAAACTTTTGGATATCCATCTCGAAGAATGCCATTAATAAGCACTAGAAAGTAATTTAAGTTTTGCGTGAAGAGTAGAACACTAGGATGAAGCAGCTGTCCAGTATTCCCACGTTTTCATTGGTTATCCAGCTGGAATTAGTTCATGATGAATACCACCTTGAGATAAATAAATCTCTACAAACCTCAAACTAAGTTACAACTCATCTATTTTCTAACCAACCGTTTCCTGTCATCCGTTATCAAGTGTTCAGGTCGTATTGGGGATTTAAACCCCATAGGGTAATGATATATCGCTCACATGAATATATTGTTTATATGAGTTATGTTTCAGCTCAAATACGTCAATTACTTTATTCTTCAAGTTGCTTTAAGAATTCCTGTTGAATTGGGAAATATAAACTCTAATTATCATTCTGCTATTTTACACTTTTAAGAAATGTTACTTGGCTGTAAGTTATACCTTCTAAAATGCTACTGTTGGTTTGTTTTAGCCATTATGGTACAATCCTTATGAAGGCAATCTATTGTATGTAGGTTTTTGAAATGTTTTATAAATAGGCTTGGAAATAGTAAATGTGGATATCGGGATTGGAGATATTTTTTTGTTGATCCTTTGAGTTAGGAAATGTCTATGCTATGCAAATGACGCTTATACATTATTATTATAAGTCTTAGTACTTTCAGTACTCCTTATACTGAATTTCTTGAGGAAAGGGGTTCTCGTCTCCACTTGAAGACTTCCATTTTGATATGCTTAGCAACTCAAGTGAATAAGTTTATTTTGATGAAGTGATTTAAAGTAATCACTGATGAATATAGATTTCATTGGGTTAGTTAAGTAAGCAACTGTAATGCAACCAGCGAATTCACTGATGCTTTAACTTTCACAGATATGATTTAGTGAAGCATCGCTACAACTAAGGTTCGTCGATTTATCTAAAATACCATTCCATTTCTTAACATCCATTTAAACAAGTAGTTTTCTTCACTGTACTATCGTGAGAAGTACGGGAAACATTAAGCGGATTTGTACTATCAGTTTTGTCAAACATGTCACACATTTCAGCTAAAATTATCATTAATTTTGGTCAGTGCAATGAAAAGACAAAGTTTATCTGGGCTCAGAAACTGCAGCATGAAACTGTGATAAGCGTAGATAAGGGACAACCTTTTTCATTTAAAGCTGAACGTATTATAAAAATCGGTTACAAAATTATTTTTCAAGAACCTTTTTAAGCTGCATATAGCGAATGCTAGGAGCGCATACTGAGATTTGTGGGAGAATCATCCATCCCATCATAATGAAATTAGTACCAGACATTACTGCGTAACGCTCCGAGTTGTCACACATCATATCAGTACATCAAGTAAAAGGCAGTAAAGTGCAAGATGAACAAAAGAAAATTCAGTCAGTAGAAATACAAAGTGCTAAAAAGATAAAGGAAGAATAGAAAAATGGTGAGATTCGGTATGGCGTGAAGACGAGAATAATATGTGTATGCATTTGTGCCACTGACATCGGTTCTGAGCCATATCATCTACAGTCTCCAACCCTGATCCCTCTTGTCCCGTGGACCCTAACCGGTTAGTCTGCGTCACCTCACATGGCTCAAACCGATACTCAATGACTTCATACATTCATTCCATGTTTTAGTCGGCCACCTCGAGCCTTTTTCCAGCCTGAACCTAATTCAGCCAACATTATGTGACTAGGCATACGTAACACATGTTCCTACCAGCCATCTCAGTTGGTGAAGGTTCACAAACTTGTCAACTATTCATGAGAGCGATTACCAAACGCAAATTGAAACCACGTTTGCGTGTACAAAAACAATTTCATCTGCACTACACCTACCTTGGTAAACTTGCTTTTCTCAGCAAGATTAGGATCTAGTCGGTCAGTCTTCTTTTCCTTATTTTAATCCCCTGTTATCTTGAGTGATTTTAAAGGCCACCCTGATAACTGTTGAAATAATCAATCAGTTTTCGGTATTCCGATCAGAAAAGTAGTTTTTTTAAAAATAAACAAAGATAATTGGTTTCCTAAGCAGTTGATAGGGTGATCTTTAAATTCACTCTGCGCAATTTTTAACCCTGTTGAATGAACAATCGAAATAATCAATTACGTTTCTTCACTTGGCCTTTGAAGTCACTCATTACTTTTCTTCGTTTTATGAAAAACTACCTTCCCATGGGTGCCTGCCTTTAAAGGCCACCCTACCAACAGCTGAAATAACTAATTAGACGTCTTAAATATATGAAAATGTGCTTTTCTAGCTGAAATAAAGAAATCTAATTGGTCATTTCATTCGTTTCAAGATGGTCTTTAAATTACCTCTTTCCTAACCGGAATATTTCATCAGTTGCTAGGATGGTCTTTAAAGTCACTCATTATGCTAATTGTTCCATTTGTCATCTCATCCTTTTGTTGAATATAAATTGACTTGAATAGATTGTTCGAAAAATATATGGCACAAATACATCACACACTGTTCAGATATGCTTCATCTTCTAATAGGCTTCATAACAGGGTCTAACCGTTTAAAATTAACACTAGTGCTATGTCAAATATGATACCGTTCCAAGATTTTTATACATTGACCTTATAATTCACAATCTATACCGTCTCTACTAACTTCAACCTAAATTACATCCGCTTTTCTGAGTTATGGAACCGTTCACCTAGCATAACTTAACTTGCAGCCTATTTCTTGTTTTGCTCAACGTTACCACTGTGTGTATACATATGAACCGGTTCATTCACAATAGTAGAGAGATTGTTGTTGCTAGTGAATGACAGAGCCTTCGAAACTATGACTTCAAGAAAACTATCTCTATCTCACACGGAGTGGCTGTTGTGATTCGGAGCTTAGTGAATAATTCTCTGTCATTTAAAGCGATCGGTCCAAGGTTCAGATCTCAGTGGGAACACCATCACACAGGCAAGTACATTCAGCTGACAAGTCTCAAAAACAAGACAAAAAGCAAGTCTTGAATTCCACCGCTAGTCACTACTCGTCATTATTATCTATTCTATTAATTAATATTCAGGGGCTAATCATTAGAAATGACAGGAAATATTATTTATACAACCTAACACGTGACCGTTTAAGTAGTGGCAAGGAAGATTAATCAATAAGAATCAGCCATTAAACATATCTGTACGTCTTGGTAACCACTGAGAGCTTTACTGAAATCAGTAATTAGATTTAAGTGTTTTCATAGAAACGACTCTGTTAAAATCATGCGGTATAATGCTAGTGTCAAATAGATTAGCTGGTTGCTAGTTGACGTGTCAAAGTAACAAGCTAACACTAAAACAGGTATGATGAACAGTAAATATTTAAGTGATCCACATGTTTTGAAAGTAGTCATCAAGATTTTGTACAACTTTTAACTAGTCATTCTTTCTGAAAGTGATTATAAGAGGTCAGTAGAAAATAATCGTTGAATTCAGGATAGGAAATCAGTGATCTTATCGGGAGATAGACAGAACATCAGTCTGGCAGTTAAGCCATTTTAAAAGGAATGAACGGAGTGTTAACTTACAGCTTTGAACATAGTTTAATAGCATGGATTACAGTAGTTGTAAATGTTTTCTGAAATCATGAAGTTGTTTAATGTTTATTTCAGGATCTATATTTCTATACATGAATAAGCCGATGCTGAAATTATTGCCCCTTCTCAATTTTCCTCCAGACTTACGTGTGGCGGCATTCAAGTATTTGCTACATAATTTAATGAATCTAGTTTTTTCTCTCATTTAGTTACATAAATCTACGTTTAACACCTACAGAAAAAAGTTAGATCACAATTTTTCTATGGTTTATGGTTACAATTTCTTGTGTTGATATACAGGAAAGCAAAGTACAGTCTTTTCTTTACAGTTGTCGATAAATATTTGGCATTGAAAAACTTATGTAAACAATTTTTCAATTCATACAATTATATAACCAGTAAACAGGCATTTTTCAACTTACTAAAAGTATTCCTCTGTAGAAGAATAAACTTCACCACTTCCATTGATGTGTTTATTGAATAATGACAAATTAACCAATTCATTTAACTCATATTTGTGTGATGAGTTCAGTACAGAATCATTTATCAATCGATCAAATACAGTAACGCATGAATTTGTATTCCACCAATTATTACATCCATCCCATGGTAAATGCGGTTTCATTGCATCAACCATATAGAACAGTGCCCAGGCAATAATTGTATTATAATACCATGCTGTATAACTTGCAATTATGCATATTCCAAATCCGATACCTAAATAATTAAATAATTGACAATAAGATGAAGGTTATGATTTTCTCTGGAGTAATTCTACAGTCAAAGTATTCTCTAAAAAGTGAAGGAAGACATTTAATCTCTTTTACAAGAATATTGTTCTCACGAAAGTATACTGCATCGCGTTTGCAAACGAAAGCAAACTAAGGTGGAGATATGAAGTGTTTGCAAAACTACAAGTTATGAGTGTATACAGTATGACAATGTTGATATAACTGAAATAGAAACAATTCAAACAATCCGACTCGCCAAAGCCTTAACTGATGTTACATAAATATCTTTTGCTTAGAGAAATTTACTTTAGAAAACAATGGATATCGTTGACTTCAAACCTATGCAGCAGGCCTTTCAAAACCTTTCTGTTAAAAACAATGAACTTCATTGTTCAAATATTATTTATTATTCAGTGAAAGGATACAGTAAAACAAGTATAAGGTGGTGAACGAATTCGCATAACAGTCGGACAAGATCTTTGGTAGTTGAAGTGAATTTAAGATCTGGTTGACAGCTACATCTCGTAGCTTATTTGATGGAGCACGGAGCCAGTAACCTAGAGGCCGCTGGTTTGAACCTTTCTGAGACCCACATTTTCATTTCTCATTCAGTCATCACCCAGTACTAACCTCATCAGTCAAAGTTTTAGTAAATATCAAACTGTTAAATACATATTTTAGCATTTTATCCCACACACAACCTCAAGAAAGTTACAAGCAAAGTTTAACTGAGATTACGTTTTCAGTTCCCTTGGATGAGAAAACAATATATTACTCTTTCGAGTATTATAGCTAGTTTTGATGCTTTTTTCTATGTGTAAAGTGTTTATACATAGAAGGAATGAAGAATAATTGCCCCAATGATGTAAGTACCACGTATCTTTCATGAGTAGTCAAGACTTCCTTTTATATTTCTTTATTTTGTCCACTAAAAAAGGTATCTGTTTTGTTTGTTTATTTATTTTATTTCTTCTAATTGGATCGGCAGTTTTATTTAACTGTGGCTGGGTTATGAAATCTCTACAAAAACATAAGTTAAAAGGAGTCCTTCTTAACAAAGTAACTATGTGTTTCCTTACTAGTCAAAAGTCTTTCAACATAGTAACTTTTAGAAGTCAACTAGTACCTTTAGAGGATAGCATGCCTATTTACTCATGAGCTGATTTCAATGCATTCACATACTCAGATACTTTTCAATGTTTGATATTTTCAGTTCTAAAACTCAATTCCAATAGATATATACACATATGATGGGAACCATTAGTGAATTTAAAGGCTTCAAATATAGTACTTTTTGAAACCAGGAAACATTTCACCTCTAATATTCAGTATAACTATACAGCTTAATTTCCGGGATGGAATTTTGTAATCATATAAATTCAACTTGACATTTAGTATCCCAGTACACTTGTCTAAAAAAACTCACATATGACGATGTACATTATTCACTTTACTTACTAGAACCCTTCAGTGATATTCATGATTTCTTCATGGAAAATAACAGTTTTAGCTTTATATATATTGCCTTACAATCCCGAAAGGTTGGTTCACTTCAAAGATTCATTCATCGAAAGGACATATAGAATGAAATATGCATACATTTCAACAGCTTTTGTCGCATCAGCTTATCAGCCGGCACTGATAAAAATGCAATTCTACGTAGTTCAGAGGATATGTTCAACTGATGTATTAGGAGAATTAGATTTGCTGAGCATTGAAAAGATCCTACAAGACAACCGTTATTCAGAAGAATATATCATCATTCAGAGACGTAGTTGAGTATCGAATTGAAATCAAAATATCCTGTGGCCGGTTTCAAGACTTTCTACGGAACAAAATGATCCTTAGCTCAAATGAAAAGTGAGGGGTTCTTTTACCACGTTACTTCCAGTTGTGTTTACATATGTTTGTGCGGGAGAAGCACTACTTACGTTATGAAACCAGACATTAGGTAACGTATTCTATGCATTAGATACGTGCATGAAGCCCTATGTGTCAATGGAAATAACGCTTTAAGTAACCCAGTCACTAGGTAGTTTATCGTTACAGTACACGTAGTGAGTGTCTTGAAATCATTCAAGGTAGTTAAAAAAGGCTAATTTGAATCTTCTGAAGTTCTCTGTGACTTTACAGATGCGATGAAGGAAATCCGATTAACGTGTCGAAAAGGAAACAGTGGTCAGTCTTTATTTGCCCTGTTAACTTAATTTCCCATCATTTCATGACATAACTCTTCAACTGAACATTTTGTTTGGTTTTACAAATTAACGTCGGTTATTTTATAGATCACTTGATAACTAGCAGTGGAATGTAAGATACGCATGTCTTCCCACTCGATTCTGGTTAGTTTGATAAACAAACACCCTTGTGAGAGATGTTGCTCCCCACTGATTCTTAAACCCAATTCCCATCGCTTCAAACTCCAAAACGTTATCTACTAGACCACTGAGGTACTAGAAGACAAAATGAGCGTTTTGGATCTCAATGCTACTCACCAAGTAAACTTTCGGATAATAAATGTTTAGGCAGTTTCGAGGCATCTATATAAGAGGCCATCCGTTAACACAGGTTGAGTGATTCTACCCAGTATAAAAACGGTAGATTACAAGTATCAATAAATATTAAGGATTATCTTCGCCGAGTTCAACTCATCATATTCCTACGCAAGTCTGTGTTTTTTTCATTTATTGCAAATGCATAAACTTATTCCTGCTATCCATAATATTTTTTCGAAGCATCTCTGAATGTCTTGTTGCCTTTTTCCAATTGCTCGCATTTCTTATTATATGATGTAGATTTCTGTTAAATAACTTCATTTTATAGGGAAAAGTAACCTTAACTTATTCTATTATACATTTAAGTGTTTTGGGCTGTGAACAGCTGATTAAATATTATTCTGCCCTAAATATTGTTCTTTCTCCACTCATGAAGAAGAACAGATGAGTGAAATTAGAAAAATTCAATTTAGCGGACGATTCACATTTTTTAAAGGTTAGAAGAGATAAAGGTATCTGTCATGAGAGTTTGTTCATTTCAGGAAATATGTCAACTTCTTCTTATTATGCATAGATATAATCATGATGGTTGTCGACTGGAGAGTGTACAGTAAGAAGGACTAGATAGTTATATAAATATTATTCAAACCTTGTTATTATGAGGTTCACAATAAAGGGGAAGGACAGAAAATCAACCTTATGCCACCCTGGTTCGTTAATAAATGGCTGCCACTCGCTATAACTTGATCTCATTGTCTGTACATTTCCCTTTTTAATTAAATTATTATTTACTGTGAGCATAAACTAAATATCAGTGATTTAGACATATAAGCTGGTGTGATTGATGACGATGAAGTGGTTTTCAAGGTCAACCTGAAGGCTAGACTTGATTGATTTGAAAAGCGCGTAAAAAATGGAACCTTTTAGAAAAAATTGTTTTTCAAGTTAAAATAATGAAGATACTTTTTTTAAGTATGCCGAGTAACATGAATTGTGAGGTGTGTAAAAAAACAGGATCATTGGTAGGTGTCATTAAGAGCATGACCTTAAGTGGAATTCGAATTAACTGATTCAAACAAATAGTTTATATTGACACTATGAGGGTACTGCATCATCATCAGAATATGTTTACTATTTGCAGTCTGATGCGTGATACTTATAAGCATTTTTTTTTCGAATAAGAATCACTGGAATCATGAATGATTTGGCAGTGATTTACTGCTAAAAAAATATCTCTGGCTCCAGAAACACAAATTTTATCACCAACTTAGATACGCTAAAGTGAGGATACTAAGCTTTAATATTGAGATACAACAGTTTTCAATTGTCAATATTTCAGTAAAAACATCTTTTTAACACCAATAAAAACCTATAAATGACAACTCATTCTATAAAATCTTTCCAGTTTCATATTCATTCATCACCGTTTTCAAAATTTCACGCATTATTGAAGTTCATTGCTTTAAAAGTACAAACTCATATGTACTGCTTTGAATGATACCTTGTTTTTGAACGAAAGTATAGCGACAAAATAACCCTCAAACTCTGGTTATTAACCAAAAGGTTATGTAGCTTCTCTTTTACTGCAAATAAATTCGAAAATAAACTCCATTTTTGGCATGATAAATATGATTGTGTATAAACTAACACAAAATATGATGAGTCAAAATGGTAACTTATATGTTACAGTTGGATTTTGCGCATACAGTACTGTCTAAATTGATAGAAAAAGTCACTAGAGAACAATAGTTGTTATCTCATTACCAATACAATGGAATCAAAATCTGCCCAGGAAAATATCATTTCACAGCTCATCAGCTTTGAGAAGCCTAGAAAGCGATTGAATGATATTCTCCAGTTGTTGAAGGTGAAATCAGACGTGGACCGCACACCACTATGATGTTGAGTAAAGTAGGAAGTGTACATAAGGTAAACAGAATGAATACAGAGGTATATACATTCAACTGGAAACGTTTCTCTGTTTATAAAGAAAGAGAAATCACTACTGGAGAAAAGTGTTAAATACGAAATATAATTATGATAATACTGGTTGAAATAACTAAATAGTAGCAATTAGAAATAAATTTTATGCAGCAACAGAGCAACGAAGATGAGATCAAACTTAGGAAATGTTCACATAAGAATGTAAAGTTGCAAGAGTGTCGTTCATCTCTTAAGACATTTGAAAGTAATTCATTTCAAAAAGTTGAGATTGTCAGTTCTTAGTTGACAAGTCCGACTAGTATACAGCCTGAGGGAGTGAATTTAAAAGCCACCATAATAACTGTTGAAATAACCAATCAGGTTTCAGTTTTTCATTTGGGAAGTTAGTTCGAAGTTGATATTCATCGTAGACTGACATCAGTTGGAAAAACAAAGGAAACCTGGGAGCACTGGACAGCTGTTTCGTCCTAGTATGGGACCCTTCAGTAGTGCGCACCCTCGACCGCTTCAGGGGTCGAACTCACGACCTTCAGCTTTCGCGGCCTAA